GACCTCATGATCCACCCGCCTCGGCCTCCCAAAGTGCTGGGATTACAAAAAAAAAAAAAAAAAAGTGAATTGAAACAGGTTATTCACCAAAGCAGAAAATACTATCTAAGCATTCCTAGGGTTGTCAAAACAAGGGGATAACTTGCTGGCTGGAATTACACATCCTGAAAATGTGTGCTTGGGTTCTTAGGCTGTTATGTTATACCAGCTTTATAAATGCAAGCTAGCAGAGGTGTGGGTCCACCTTACCTCCAGTCAGGGGATCACAACTGCCCAGCTGGCCATTGCTGTTACAATTGCATGGTTGGCAGCTGCCTCCAAATTTCTGGGGATTCCCAAAGTATCCTGGTGCACACCTACACAAAATATAGATGGGAGGAGAAACACCCAAATAACACATCATTTATCCCACCCAATTTTCTCAATCTCTAGTTCTCTGTTTGGGTTAAGGCTGACATAGATCTGTAAGAATGAATATTTCTCAATACAGAGGTATTTACCCCTTGAATTGCCTCACAGAAATAAATTTGAAGTCAGATTCACATAATTTCTAATTTTTTTGGATGAGGGAGGACTATCTTAATATTTCCTATTGCATTCATTCTTTTTTTTTTTTCTTTTTTCTTTTTTTAGACAGTCTTACCCTACTCTGTTGCCCAGGCTGGAGTACAGGGGCACAATCATAGCTTACTGCAGCCTCAAACTTCTGGGCTCAAGTGATCCTCCTGCCTCAGCCTCCTAAGAAACTGGAACTACAGGTATATCCCAGCATGCCTGGCTAATTTTTTAATTTTCAGTAGAGATGAGGTCTTACTCTGTTGCTCAGACTGGTCTTGATCTCCTAGGCTCAAGTGATCCTCCTGTCTCAGCTCCTTAAGTGCTGAGATTACTGGCATGAACCACTGCACCTGATCTGTACTGTGTCAAGTCTGCATAACTCATATCTGCACTAATTGCTGCGGTGCTGTATATAATGAGCTTAAACAACCGAGAGCAGTTACAGCTGCTACCTTTGGCCCTGAGCCTTTGTTATTCTACGTAGTATAGTAATGAGAACTCATTCCTGGTTTACAAGTTTAAAGATCACATTTCCTTGATTCTTAGATTTTTTTTTTTAAAGTCAAATAAGCACATGTTAATGTCCTAGAGTTGGGATGTCAATTACAATATTTCCATTAACAAAGTTCCACTCCCCATCCGGTCACCCCCAAACTGCCATTAAACTGATGTGTAGTGTCTTATCATCAATGGACTTGATAGACTCAAAGACACATGGTATTTACCTCATTTCCCAAAATTTAAGCACTGCATCAAAAACAACATTAGGCAATTCCAATACACGTTACCATGTACTTCCAATATATTTCACCAATGTATTACCACAGATACACTGGTGACATAATGTAAAGGATCAGAAAGATCTGGCTGGACTCCTGCCTCCACTACTTACAAGTGTGATCTTGGGCTGTTGCTGTAACCCTCTGCGCTTCTGTTTCTTTACTGGTCTCCCCTCAAGCCCCCATTAAAATATAAGCTCCATGAAGACATGGGGTTTTGGGCTGTTTGGCTCACTGATTTATCCCTAGCACCTAGCACATACTAGGTGACAGAAAAATATTTGTTGAATGAATAAATGATTGGACTAATAATACCTATTTTGCTCAATGAATGTAAGAGATAATGTAATAAATAATTTAGCATAATGTCTGCACATAACAGACACTCAAGGGTAGCTATCATTATAAGACATGACAAAATATTCATCTTCTAATTGGCATCATTTGAAATTATTATAAGAAAACAGAAGGCTCATGTATTCCCTAATAATCAAGAAGGTAACTACGCTGAGGTGGCTTATCTAAGTCTACTAAGCAGGGTGGTCATGTGCTAGTAATAGGGCTTTACTTTGTGACTGGCTTGGTATTCTACCTAACAGATCATGCTATACAGAAGCTCTGTGTTCTAGAATACCTTATTTTTGATGTCTTTCTTACCTAAACTCTTACCATCTAAACTTCCCATATAATAGACGCATAATTACAAAGTACCTTATGTTTAAATCACAGAAATATTCAGGAAGTTCAATTCTACTTCTTCCTTACTCTTGCAAAGTATTACTTACTGGGTACAAGAAATACCTTGTTCTCTTATTCTCAATTTATGGTAGTGGCTAAGCACAAGTAAAACTTCCAATTTCACAAATGACACTTGTACAGCAAATAAAGAGCAGAGAACAAGCTAGTCACCTGTGGCCCTGTGTGGCTGGGGGAGATGAGGTGGTGAGAGCATGTATGAGCTACGAAGCCTTTGCTAACCCATCCCCCAGCTGGCTGCGCTGGCTTCTATACAGCTAGTCTCCTGTGTATCTATATTCCCATTTTTCACCCTCGACTGTTGTTGTATTTACAATTGTGTAGCTAATCACTAGTGCTAGGAATGATTTCCGGGTGCTATGTCTAACAAATGAAAAATGTTGACATCAAAATGGCATTTTCCCGTGAAAAAGCTTTAAAATTTTTTTAAAGAAACAATAGCTTGTTTTCTTCTCTCGCTGTTTTAATGGCGTGTTTTGATGTCTGTCCACCACTGGACTGGGAAGCCCTTGAGGACACTGTGCTGCCTGCTAATGTGCCTCTAGTACTTAGCACTATGCCAGATATATTCTAGGACCTCCATACATTTTTCATTGAAAGAACAAATGAATAATAAATGTGAGGCAAGTGTGAGAAATGCTCCTTTTGCTGAAATGGAAAATGGAAAACAGAAGAACCTTACATTGCTATCTTTTGCCCTAGAACTGGCTCCTTAGCTGCCGCTCAGTATCCCCAGGCTAAGGCAGTCCCCACTCCTACACATGGCAGGTGTCTTCCAGCCCCTTGGGCTTTCCTGCCTTCTTTCCCCAACCTACCCAGCCCTCCACCTCCATCTTCTGGCTCTACTGGATTCTAGGCACCCCTTAGACCTACCAAAGTCCTACCTTAACTATAAACATTTCAGATAACCCCAGTCTAAAGTAGTTATGCCTTACTTGAAATCTGGTTGAATTCATTTGCTGGTTAATAAAAAAAAAAATCAGTCGGCCGGGCACAGTGGCTCACGCCTGTAGTCCTAGCACTTTGGGAAGCTGAGGTGGTTGGATCACCTGAGGTCAGGAGTTCAAGACCAGCCTGGCCATCATGGTGAAACCCCATCTTTATATATATATATAAAAAAAAAAGATAAAAAAATTAGTCAAACTCTTCTAAAGTTTAAACAAAACAATGTGAATTAAAATGATATATATTTTCTCTATCAGATTGGCTTTTTTCTTTTCTGTTGCCCAGGCTAGAGTACAGTGGTGTGATCATAGCTCATTGCAGCCTTGAACTCCTGGGCTCAAGTGATTCTCCTACCTCAGGACTCCAAGTAGCTGGGACCACCGGCATACACCACCACACTTGGCTAATTAAAAAAAATATATATATGGAGATGAAGTCTCTCTATGCTGCCAAGGCTGGTCTGTAACCCCTGGATCACATGAAATGATCCTCCCACCTTGGCCTCCCAAAGTGATGGGATTACAGGTATGAGTCACCACCATGCTTGACCCTAATTGGCAAATATTTTAAAAATTGATCCTTTCCAATATCCATTGGGGTAGGTAGTCACTCATTCTCTTTTGCTGCTGGTTAAGAATATAAACTTTCCTAGAGGGCAATTTTGCAAAAGCTATTAAAAGCCTGGAAAACCTATCCTCTGACCCAAGGAATCCACTTCTACAACTATACCTTGAGGATATACATACACAAATATTAAGCTGCAAGGATTTAATTTTAGTGTTGCTTTAAATGGAGAACAGTAAAAGGATCTCTAAGACCAAGAGCAGGGGGTTATGAAAACCCAGTGAAAATTTTTGCTCATTGATGTGATGTTATCAGTGAATACTTTATTGATACAGAAAGATATTTCTAACATAGTATATTAGATAAGAAAACAAGTCAAAACAGAAAGTAATACAGGAATCTACTTTTTTTTTTTAATTCACGCATTTAGAAATGATATTTAAAAACATACAGCTAGCTTTTTTATAGTGGCTTTCTGTAGATAAAATGATTATGAATAGGATTGTATGTGAATGCATCTGAGCGCACATGGCTAGGTCGAGGTGTACAGGGGCTTCGCTGGTTCTCTGCTCACTTGTATTACATCATTTTATCAAAAATATGTATTGATTTTAAGAGAAAGTTATTTTAAATTTTAAAATATGTCAACCATATGATTCATTTTTCCTACTGTTCCTTTTCTAAATATGTGTGTGCTGTCTTCCCAGCTAGGTTATAAGTATCTTTTATATCTTTCTCAATACTTGGCAGTGCTCTATGCATAGTCGCTAATCATGAAAATTGTCTGAGAATAACTGAAGCTTGGCTCCTGTGGCCCTTTGTTGTCAATTTTATACTTTCGATTCCACAACATTTATTCTTTTGTTTCACAAACATTATTGAACACCTATTAAGTGAACAGTACCACGCCTGGAACCAGGGATTCTGAAATAAACAAGACACAGATTGCCCTGAAAGTGTTCAAAATACAGTATGGGGATAGAGGTACCTGTGTGTGTGTGTGGGGGGGGGGGGGGGGGGTGCTATCTAAGGCTGTGGATGTGTGTGTGTATGGTAGGGAAGAGTGTAGGAAGTTGTATGTGTGTACAGGTAAGTAGGGATATGATGGGGGCAGGTGTATGGAAATACGGGGAAGGGACATGTAGAAATGGGGGTGTGCAGAGATCATTGTGGAGGAGGGGTAGGTAGGGAGGTGTTGGGGGTTGTGGTACACAAGGGTGTGTGTGTTGGGGGGATGCAGGTACAGCTACATGTGGGTGAGTGTATGTGTTATGCCTCATTCTCAGTTTTCTGAAACATACAAAGCAGGAAAGAGAACAATGTTAATAATTTATTAGGTGAACAGTCTTGTATTTTTCCCAAGAGACCTTTTTCTAGGCCTCAGTCAAACTCTCAGCCCCACCCCTAGCTCTGCGCCAGTGCCTGGCAGCGCCCCACCCACAGCCCTCCCTGCCCCCTGGCTGGCTGAGGGCAGGGGGCACCCACCTTACCTTTCACACTGTGTTCCTGTGTACCCAGCTTTGCAGGAGCACCGCACGTTTCCCCCATTCACCACACAGCCGGTGGCAAAGCTTGAAAGAAGGCAGAAAAAGGCCCCAGTAAAAACACAGTTGATCGATAGGATTTATGCTCATTATTTTTTACCACAAAGGGCTGACTTGCATTAAGTGAACACTGAAACCCAGGGTCTGGTTATTTTTTGTGTGAAGAAAATTTTGCCCATCAAGACTTGGAGAGATAATGATGAATGATCTCAGCTGACACTGGGCAATTTTGGTGAATAAGGACTGAAGGCATTTATTTTATTTGTTCCTTGTGGAAGAGCATTTTTTCCCCTTAAGACAGATCAGAGTAATTCACTTTGGAAGAGATGATTACAACAGCATTTTTCCAGGAATAACAAGGAAGGAGTAAAACAAGTCCAGGCAGAAAAAGAACAGAGAGTTCTGATTCTTTAAAAAAACATTCTCCTTGTTGATTCTGGTTCTTTTCTATCAGGCACCTTGCCTTCTGGGAAGAAAAGTCGGTGGGGAGACCAGGGCCTGGAGCCACCCAAAGAAGCACAGAGGACACTCGCCTGCCTTGGCATTTCTGTGGGTACGATCATTGCTGATTCTCACTTTTTTTTCAAACCAAGTTGTGGAATTTTGATCCCTTTTCTTTTAGCTCTAAAGTGATGATATTTTACACTTGATCTTAGCCAAAAGTGATGATATTTTAGAAGAAGATTTTCTAACACACAAGCACACACACACCACAAAGAGACCATGAAAAAGCCCTGTGGCCCTTGCAAAGTGTCTCCATCTGCCACTGGACATGACACTGATAACATCTGAGGGAGTATCACTCCAACTACCATTCACTGGTAAAAGAATTCCTATTTAGGAAGCCTCTCGAGGGACAGTTAGAAATTGGTCAGCACTATTAATATTGCTGGAAGGGGAAGCAGATAGACATAGAGTTTTACTGATACATCCAAAGACCTACGTGTTACTTCAACTGCCTGGAAGCTGGAAGCTGACCTTGATGCTAACAATATGCTTTGCAAACGAAAATGAAAAACTTGTTCCAAGCACCCCAGTGGAAATCTTGCTGCTTTCTACTTTTGCCAGCTTCTCTTTAAACAAGTCTGGGCAAGCTCAAGTGATTGATCCCTTGACAAAAAAAGCTGCAGGATGGGGCGGGCTTTACAAGTATCAAATATATAGGCAGCAAAGCAGGTGAACATTCCAAGTAGGTTTCTGCAGAGAAGCCACACTTGGCACATGGCTTCTGGCAATGTTAGGACTTGGCTCAAGTGTCTGTTAAGTAAGGGCTGATATAGGCCCGACTCTCTGATCCATACTTGTCTCTGAGCCTATGTACTACTGAGACTTCGTCAGTATCTTTTTGATTTTCAAACTAACTCTTGCTTCACTTAGTTTGTTACATTATTCTTTGCTTGGGTCCCTGCAGTGAACCCTTCGTGATGAGCAAGGGTATGACAAGGTACCACGCCTAAGGAGAGAGGAGGTTACCTTGAAAACACAGCGGTGGCTTCCTACCTATGTAGTCTATTAGTCACGTTGGAGCCTGAGTGACAGCTCAGATCACTCAGTGGCTCAGAACTGTTTTCAGGCTTCCACTGCACTGAGGATGAGATCCAGATGCTTGACCACAGCCTGCAGGGTTCTGCGGGACCTGGGGCTTGGCTGCCCTCCCCCGCAACCTCACCCCTGGTCCTCTCTCTCCACACTGCATTTCTGCCACTTCTGCCTTCTCACTGCCTCGAACACACCATCACAGGCCTTTCCCTTCTGTTTCATCCTTGCCTGGGAGCCTCATGGCCAAGATACTGCCATGGCTTCCTCTCACTGTCAATGACCAAGCCACCCTCTCACTGTCAATGACACAAGCCTATTGCAGAAAATATCTCTATCTCCAATTCTACTTCTTATTGATTAGTGTGCATATTTATTGAGTGTGATGACTCCCACCCTTTCTCTTCCTCCCTGCCACACTCTCAGTAAAGCCCCAGGAGAACAGGGACTGCCTCTGTTTTCCTTCCTTCAGTTTCCCCATCACAGAGAGGGCTGAGGTCTGGCCCTATCATGGGTGCTGAAGTAGCTACATAACCACTGAATGAACAGTAAAAGAAAAGAGCGAAAGGAAAAGCCTGGAAGGATACAACTTGGAAAGATGGTTTCTAGTTTTCTTGTTGTTGTTGTTTGTTTTTTTTAAGATGGAGTCTCACTCTGTCGCCCAGGCTGGAGCGCAGTGATGCAATCTCAGCTCACTGCAGCCTCCACCTCCCAGGTTCAAGCAGTTCTCCTGCCTGTCTCCTGAGGAGCTGGGATTATAGACTAATTTTTGTATTTTTAGTAGAGACAGGGTTTCACCATGTTGGCCAGGCTACTCTCGAACTCCTGACCTCAAGTGATCCACCTGCCTCAGCCTCCCAAAGTGCTCGATTACAGGCATGAGCCACTGTGCCTGGCCTGTTCATTTATTCTCACATATGCCATGTTTGTTCATTTCACTATCACATCTTTACTGAAATATACTTCATATATCATGCGATTCACCATGTAAACTGTACAATTCAACGGCTTGTAGTATATTCACAGAATTGTGTAATCATCACCACAATCAATTTGAAAATGTTTTCATCTCTTCAAAAAGAAGTCCCAGACCCTTTGGAAATCACTTCCCATTCTCCCCACCTGCTCTCCCACCCCTAGTCTGAGGTAGCCACCAAACGACTTCAGAGCCATGTAGTTTATGTCAAGCTGCTACGGTACCTGTTGGTGTGAGGACACGGGCAGGCCCTGCAGGATCCGTGGATGGCACTGCCATAGTAGCCCTCCTGGCAGCGTTCACAGTGCTCGCCCGCGGTGTTGTGCTGACAGCTCTAGGGACAGGTAAACAGCACAATTCAACAGCAGCCGGTACAGTCACTACTTCTGAGATCACTGTAATCTTACTTATTCACATGACTGGAATTCAAGTCCTCTGACTTTGCAGCGATATCAGCTCCTCTAACCGTGTATTTTCCCTATCCGCCTAATCATTGTTGGTGCTAGAAAAGAGGTCTAAGTGCTCTTCCCTCAGTGACATGGTGCTTAACGTTGGCAGCGTGACATAGTGGGGACAAGCCAGCTGAGTCTCCATCACACTCCAGCATCTCGAGGCTGTGGAGTCCTGGGGCGAGGTCCTTTCAATTATATCAATTTTACCTATATCAATTTTACTAGTGTATGACTTATCTACAATTACAATTTTCTCAAAATGTACATTTAGAATAATGCCCACTTTCTAAGGCTGTTGGGAGGATTTAAAAAAGCAAAGTGTACTAAGCTCTTGGGAAATGTAAATTCTTTTCTCTCTTTCCCTTACAACCGCTTTGATGAAAACTGTCTTCATTTTACTTCACAGTTCACATACCAATGATATACTGAAGAGTGATATTATTGAAATGAGTTCTTAATACAGAATTTGTTAAAACAATAAAAAGTTGCACAGTATCTGAAGAAAGCACTCAGCTTAATTCTAATGTCCCAAAGAAGCAAAAACTTCATGTTATCTAATCTTTTTATTTACATAAATCCAATTCTTTTCATGTCAAGGTTGCTGTGTAATGAAATGTGTTCTTTACCAAAGTGTTGAGATGAAATAGTTTTGCAACCAAGTGGTCTACTGAGATAAAACCTAGTGGATTGGGTCAAATTTGTTTATTTTCTTGGCGTTACCCTAGCAATAAAAGTTCTAAACGCACAAAAACATCCAGGAAAACTCCCCTTGCTGTGGGCATTTGATAATTTGGAGATATTTTGTGTTATTTATATGGACTGGAATAAGCATAATTTAAAAAATTTGCTTATGTATTTTATCTCTGCAGAGGTGTTGTTTGAGTAGGAAACTTTAATGAGTGTCAGCTTTTAAATAATGCCTGAAAGTCATTTGGGAAAAACTGTACATGTTTATATCCCAAGAGGACATGGCTTATTCATAATGAAAAAGGTTGCCCTTCCATCATAAATGTCTCCAATTTGTCTAGATTGAGCAAATCCATCCTTCACCAACCTCTGAGTAACTGAAAATTACACAGAATACCAAGATGTTAAAATATCCTTTCCTATTTGTTTCCTAGCTATAAAATTGTGCTATAAACACAAGATATTAGTATTTCAGATCAGGTGGAGAGGCTTTAAAGTAGGATGCTGCTCACATGTTCGCATTTGCTTATCATCAGAAAGTAAATTCCTATCCGGAATCCTTCCTTCTCCAAATCACACTGCACTATGGGTCCAGACTCCTTGAGGTCTGGACACTGAGAATAATCATCCCTGCAGCTGATCAGCTGCACAGAGGAGTTCTCTCACGGGTGACTGAAAAGGACACCAGCGGCTTTCCTCACCCTGTGTTCAGCTGCCCTGACTCTCTCATAAGACATCAGTCCTTTGGAACTAATATGTTTCCATTTTAGTTTTCTTTCTCTTTTAATCCAAATGTCAATTTAAAAGAAGAACATGCCTGTATAGATATATTTCAGTCCTGTGTCTAATTAGCTCTGAGGCTGAACACAATGGAGAAACAATAACATTGAGATGTAAGAATTGAGGTAAGGACATCCATATCCTACTAAAATCACTCTGAATACTGGGCCTCCACAGGGGTGAGAGGAGGGGATCAAGGAAGGGTGTCAAAAATGTTGCTTGACAAAGTCCCATAAGAATATGTGCGATACCCTGCACTGTCAGTTGAGAGTGGCCACCCTGGAAACTGTCTTCTTCAGACCTGCAAACTTGGAGCATCTCCCTTCAGGTTCCTTGCACTTTACTGTGTATAAATGAATGAACAAATGCTGCAGAAGCCCATGTCCACTCCCGCGGCATGTGCTCTCCTAGCTCCATTTGTCACCAAATATCCATTTGGCATTTACTATATGCCCAATTATGCTAGGCACTAAGGATGTAAAGATGGGTTGGTACCTCGACTCAGGGTACATGTAACCCTGTGAATAGATGTATTCAATATCATGTGGAAAACAGGACATAAGTGTGCCAGCATCCCACAAGAGCAGGAGGAGGGGCGGCCTGCGAGGGCCACAAAAGGACAGGGATTCACTGAGCGTAAAAGTGAGGGAGGGGCGTTCCAGGCACAGGGGAAGAGTGTGCAGAACCTCAGTCTCACAATAGCATGGCAGTGTGTGGAGGGAATGAAAAGCAAAGGGCATCCCAGAGGCAGAAGTGCAAGGGGGCAAGATGCAGCTGGAGAGAGTCCCTGAGACTGTGCTGAGGGGTTGTGGGGTTTCTTCTCTCCATGAGCCTCAGGGAGCACCATGTCAGCTGTGAATTTCGGATAAATCATTCTGAAATTCCACTGCAACTGCGATGTGGAAGACGGGCTCAAGTAGCAAAGAATAAAAGAAGGAAGATGAAGAAAGAAGACAGAGAAAAGGGGAGGAAAATGGGAACAGAGAGGAACATAAGGGCTGACAGAGACAGTAGACAGCAAGGGGAATTGGGGAGAAAGGAGAAAATATGGGGAGAAATTGGGGCAATAAGGAGAGGGAGAGGCAGGGGTCTCAGCGCATAGCAGGAGGCCATGATTGCAGGTCCCTCTGGAAGGTGGCACCCCCACGGGCTACTCCTGCCCTTAATGCTGGACACCTACTGCTATACCAGCAAAAAGTTGGGCCACTTATCTTTTCAAACCTCAGAGTCTATTCTTGAAATGCCATGAAGATTTGCACCTGGGTGAAGGTCCCTGATGTCAGACATTTACTTGGAACCTTGAGAGGTGGTGGTCAATTTGCAGTGAAATCAGCCAGAAATCCCATCTGATATTCGAACGTACTGGATTTCCTTATTACTATTCTTTGAGAAGGAGGGCTGCATCCTTGGCTTCCATGCAGTGGACACAATTCAGAGCAGCATCGGCACTCAGGACTTGCCATAGAGCTGTTAGTTGAGTGCAGACACAGGCTCCGTGTGTGTGTGTGCGCGTGTGTGCTCGTGTGTGTACGTGTGTACACACATACACATTCCCTGCTAGACAGCAAGACTTGTGAGTGTAGGGATTAAGTCTGATGATTTAAACTCTAGCACTTAGCTCAGTACCTGCCACACTAGCAAATACTCAGTGAGGATTTCCTGAATCAAGAGTCTTGGCGGCCGCATGGCCAATAGGAACAAGTGAAGAGAACTACAAAAAAAGGAAATGGGAAAGAAAATCTTGTTTGATTAAAATATGAATTAAGACTCTTACAAGTTTTCCTTTTAGTGTGTGACTACAAAAAACAAACAAACAAACAAACAAAACCTCCCTTTGCTCTTTGAGATTTTATAAGGTGGGCTTGACACCTAGCAATGGTTCAGTGATAAGATATTTATTCTTAAAGTGTCTACCCATGTTACACAAAACATACAATATTAGACATGAACTATTCTATAGGAACACTAATGAGCTGGAAAACAGTATTCCTCAATACCTTTTATGCTTTTTGAACTTATAAGGTTACAATCCAACCAATTATTCTATCAGGTGGCTCTTCACAACAATTTCCTGTTCTAGCCTGTCCCATCTTGCAAAGGAAGCAGTTCCCCGGGCCACGTTGAACTAGCTTAATACGGTCTAGGAACTCATACTTGAAACACTCTAGTTGCATTACACAATGCAAAGAAAATCTGTGCCAGAGGAGTGCATGTCCAAAAGGGCACAGCACAACTGAAGCCCTGCATTCTGGGAGTATGCTCCTTCCTTCTTTTCACTGTCCATTTTCCTCGCTGGGGAGGCCCTGGTTACCAAGAAGAACTCTAATAAAAGGAATGGGAAAAAAAAGCAGAATAAAAAAGATTCTGCTTTGGGATGCATAAGAAAAATTTCCTAAGAAACTAATTTTAGTTAGGAGAATTTTATTTTATTATTTATTTATTTATTCATTTTTTGAGATGGAGTCTTACTCTGTCACCCAGGCTGGAGTGCAGTGGAGCGACCTTGGCTCACTGAAACCTCTGCCTCCTGGGTTCAAGCGATTCTCCTGTCTCAGCCTCCCAAGTAGCTGGGACTACAGACGCGCGCCACCATGTCCAGCTAATTTTTTGTATTTTTAGTAGAGACAGGGTTCACCATGTTAGCCAGCATGGTCTCAATCTCCTGACCTTGTGATCTGCCCGCCTCAGCCTCCCAAAGTGCTGGAATTACAAGTGTGAGCCACTGCACCTGGCTAGTAGGAGAATTTTATAAAATATTCCAAAATAAGATTTTTCCAGTGGATAAGTTATAGTCATCCAAGACAGCCTTGAGGCCATGAGAAAAAACAGTCAACATAGGGAACAGGCAGGCAGAGGACGCCGTGAGGACAGGAGAGGTGAGCAGCACTTTCTTTCCCCAACAACCTCCCTCACGGGTCTGCTCCAAGCCCTACTATGTCTTGGCAATACTGAAGCTTGTGTTGGACTGATTTGTTTCTTTCTTTTCCTTTCTTTTTTTTTGTTTGTTGAGATGGAGGTTTGTTCTCGTTGCCCAGGCTGGAGTGCAATGGCACGATCTCGGCTCACAGCAACCTCTGCCTCCTAGGTTCAAGTGATTCTCCTGCCTCAGCCTCCTGAGTAGTAGGCTTACTGGCGCCTGCCACCATGCCCAACTAATGTTGGACTGATTTCTTATGAGCTGTAAGCCCTCCACAAATCCCCTTCTCCCTGGTTGCTTTCTCAAATTACTGCTCATTGACAGCAAGCCCTGGTCCTGTAACTTCCTACCACCCCAACAAAATTGGGACCCAAAGTCATGGCTCTGATTAGTTATGTCCTGGCAAGAATTAACTTCCAAGGTCCACCCATTACTATCATTTCATGAAGCAGAGATTTGGAAGCTAAAGTGTAACTTAATTGCTCAGAGAGCAGCCCTCTTTTTAATGGCACATGTTAAAATGGAGGAAAAAAATGAAATGTAAAATACTTCAGCCTGATAATGGAGCGTCATATATTCAAACAGCAACCTCTATTTAGGGTTTGGCAGGAGATGTGATGTTGATGTCTCGGGGCATAGTAGAGGGGAATGGAGAAACAGATTCCCTGCTGATAGCATAAAAGTATCAATTTACTCACAATACATATGCCTGAGCCATCCTGGCACCGATTTGAATGTCCGTTGCAATTGCAGGGAACACACCGTCCAGTATACAAGCCTTTGTGATCCCGATAGTATCCAGGGCTACAACCCTATTTTTTTCAAACAAAATGTTTAATCAGTACAAAGAAAGAAAACAATGATTATCCAAAGCATGTGATACTTCTCACTGCAAAGCATGAACCTTATTTTTATGTTTTAGAGACAGGGTCTGGCTATGTTGCCCAGGCTGGAGTGCGTTGACTATTCACAGGTGTGATCATAGTGCAATACAGTCTCGAGCTCCTGGGCTCAAGCAATCCTCCTGCCTCAGCCTCCAGAGCAGCTGGAACCACAGGCACGTGCACCGCTGAGCCCGGCTGAAACATTCGTTTTTCAAACCTTCTTTCCCTCAGTCAGTGTGAGTATTTTTAATTGCAACCACCAGTCAGATCCACTTGTTTTTCTCTCAAGTTGCTTGGTCAGATCCACTTGTTTTTCTCTCAAGTTGCTTGGTTTTCATGCCCTGGTGGGAATGCGAGATGCGTGGCAGGGAAATCAGAGAGACGGCAAGTGTGGAGGTGGTGGGCGAGAAGGGGCTCCTCTCTTCTCACAACTGTTTTAGGGAGCAGGCGGAGAAGGTAGAAGTGGACAAATAAAGAGAATTGGGCCCCCATCCTCAGAGGGGAGGACATCTAAGCAAATCACTTCAAGTTCGAATTATCTTTGGGTAGCCGTCTGCTCTCCAGGTGTGAGTTTGGGCTGGTGGAAGGGCAGTATGGGAGGAGGAGTGGGTTGTGGGGGATGGGATTCTTAACTGAGATCTATACAATCATGCCACAATCGGTGGAGTCACTTCATTCCCACTCACTAGTCCATGGGCAACAGAGAACCCAGGGGAGGGGAGTGTGCATGAGGTCCCATAAAGGACTCTTCATGAATATCTGGTCCACACTGAACACATAAGGAGTCTCCTTGGTTTGGTCTTGTTTTGTTGTTCAATCTTATTTTGATTATTTCTATCCCCAGCATATTATCTCTCTCCAGTATAATACAAGTTGTGCTTTTTCATCTGGACAAAAATAATTACAATTTTCTTTTCATGAACTAGTACCTTTAAAAAAGCCATCTAGTTAAGAATTCCTCCAATAGAAAAAAAGGCAATTCTTCTTATACCGGCCATTAAAATTATTTAGATTTCTGTCTTTAAAGGAAATTATAGACATGTCCTTTATTTTGGCAGAGTGAATCAGTGCGCAGATTAAAATCAGATATTGGCTGGTTGTGGTGGCTCATGCCTATAATCCCAGCATTTTGGGAGGCTAAGGTGGGTGGATCGCTTGAGTCCAGGAGTTTGAGACCAGCCTGGGCAACATGGTAAAACCTCATCTCTACCAAAAAATACTACAATTAGCTGGGCACAGTGACGCATGCCTATAGTCCCAGCTACTTGGGGAGGCTGAGGTGGGAGGATGGCTTGAATCTCAGAGGTTGCAGTGAGCCCAGATTACACCACTGCACTCCAGCCTGGGCAACAAGAGTGAAACCCTGTCTAAAAAAAAAAAAAATCAGATATTGTCCCTAGTTTGTTTCCTTGATCTCCTATATACCCTATCTTGAAAGCATCAGGAAAACTATTTCAAGATAAAGGATAGTCTTTTGTCAAATCTTCTTTAAATAGCACATATGTCTGTAAAACTCAGAAACTATAGTCAAAGAAAATCTTGAAATGGACAGTCCATTCTCATTCATCCGTGGCCATAAAGGTCTCTACCTGGTCAAGTGGAAGAAAGGAAGAAGCCACCTGCCAGGAGAGAGAGGCAGAAGCCTCATGTGCTCAGGGAGTGGAATCTCCAGGTGTTGCTAGAGCGCCTTCCAAAATTACCAATGAATACAGATCATGCACAATAAGACCATAGTTTCCAATATAATATTCCTTTAAGCTATTAGGAACCATGTTTAGGCAAAAGAGTACGTTGCAAATAAATAGATTATGTTGTTATATGAATAGGCTTGTCTAAAGGAGAATCAAAGTATGAAAGGAATGTTCTTTTGCTGAAAGCACAGCTGAGATTTACACGTGAACGAAATGCAGCCAATGATGGTGTCATCATATCTATTATACGATCTGTCCTAAAAGTGGCAAGTACCTAATAATTATCAGTGGATATCATATTACCTGCTTACGAAATAATCGCATTTGGTAAAGAGCAAGTTATTCAAATAAACAGATCTGGTTAGTTTATGACAACACACCTGAGTAAAAGCCTTAATGAAACATGCTTTGGGGGAGTATAGTCTATCCTGATTAAAACTAAATCAATCATCTTAATTTGCTTTTGATTACAAGCGGAAAATATACTCTGCAAGAGTTACATATCATGTGACCCTCCAAGGATGTGTCAGTTACTAAAATAGAATCATTTCACCTCTTATAATGCAAGCAAAAACACATTCTACAAAAAAATCAGTTTAAGTATTCAGTTTATATTGAATACTCATTTTTAAATGAAAATGAATGTATTCTAATACATTAGTTCAAAAAAGGGGTTCTATAACTAGTTAACCTGATGATGTTTCATGTTAAGTTTTCCAGGAAACTTTTGTAATAAAAATTATATGCAAACGACAAAATTATGTTCCTAAACCAGTTTCCAGGGCTATATCAGTAGCCATAGGATCTATTTCTCTGCAAGAATACATGTAGCATCCAGGAAGTTTAAAGAGAGCAGAATTTATGAATGTTTCATGCCTGGCAAATGGAAGCATGTCTTTTAGATTTATGCAAATTTTGATCGCTTTTCTTAAGCATTGGATTTCACTCTTTCTCATGTTTTTTTCGTGGGTAAAATTTCTTCCAAGCAGTATTTGGAAAACTGTAGGCATTGGACTATTTTTCTGAGCCTTGGGGTGGTCTCTAAAAGGCATAAAGTTTCATCGTATATTAACATCCCACAAGCATTCAAGCTCTTAACTGCCTCGGCATTTCCAGGTGGGCTGATGTTAATGGGATTTGTGGTTAATAGCTTGGGAGAACAATCTGTCAGGCACTCTAATCAACACTGCCAGTCAAGGCTACTGGGAGGCCATCAGCCCCTCCTTAGTCCACTCCTTTACTCATTAATCACCTAACTGCAACTTAAAATGTCACAAAACTGGAAACTCCTCCCCATCCCAAACCAAAACTTAAAAGGACATTACCTGGCTGGGTCTAAACTCCACATAACTCGCTTGCAGCTGACTTTGACCGGGAGGCTGAAGAAATGGCACCCTTTGCTGCTGTGAACTGTAGCCCAGACATTGCCCCAGGGCTGCCCCAAAGATCCACAGCCATCCCATGCTCCCGGCTGACCGCCTCACATCTGGAGGCATCCTGGCTTCTGGGCGTCCCGCTGGCTGCACATGAAGCTCTGCCTCTTCCTCTTATACCTGCCTTCCTGCTCAGTGCCTGGGCCTGCCTGACTCAGGGAAGGAAGGCTGTCTGCGGCAGGCGCCCCACCTTTAAACTTCACACATGAGTCAGCCTGTGCCAGAGCGCACATAACAGTCTTGCAGGTAAGCGCACCGCTCTGTAATTCCTGGGAGGTGGGGCGGGCATCACCTTCCACCCACCTCACCCCGCAGACGCTCTAAATCACAGGCTGAGTCATGGGCAGGGAACACGCCCTGGGCAGAAGGGTGGAAATCCAGAGTCCCTCTCTCTCCCTTGGGCTATCAATTTTAATCAGGCTAGAAAAGAGACGGAGGAAGGGGAGGAATGTAGGCTACCTGTGGGCTAAATATTACAACTTGGGAGTATCCAGAAGACCACAGCAGGTCAGATTTGTTTTTGCAGGTTTAAAAAGTGGAAACTTGTATGCTCAGATCACCTTGGGGGTTTTTGGCTACCAGGGGGCCAGGAAAGAAAATGAAAGGTTTTGCTAAGTCTACGTACTTTTGAATGTATAGAATACACAAAATAACAGTGTATTCTACTTCTACTAATTGTGCTAATGACAGTGTATTGCTACTTCTACTAATTGTGCTAATGACAGTGTATTGCTGCTTCTACTAATTGTGCTAACATTGTGCTTTTGGCTTGATCTTTAAGAAAAGACATATTTATAGCCTGAGAAATTGAATAGTTTCATTCTATGGCACATTTTAATCATCTGAAGACAGCTCTGTTTGACTGGACCTCAAATAATGAGGCTCTGCTGCAAGCCAGAACATAATATCCTCTAAGAAATCCAGGATGTTTTCTGGAATTCCAGTCTCCTGGGGCACTGAGAGTAGGTGGAGGGAGGTTCTGGATTAGAGAAAGGTTTAAGGTCAGTTATTGGGAAAGCAGGGGCTCAAATATTTAGATGCTGACTGATGAGCTCCTTCATTTTCAAATATATTTTATTTAAAAAATTGATAAATAATAGTGATAAATATAGACTGCATAGTGATGTCTGATACATATAACATTTAGTGATCAGATAAGGTAATTAGCATATCCATCATCTCAAGCGTTGATCATTTCATTGTGTTGGGAACAGTCAATATCCTCCATCTAGCTATTTGAAACTATAGTATGTTTTTTCCTACTCTGGATTTCTCTAACCCTCAGCATCTAATGAATTCCTGTGGCTTTCCTATGAATTCTGAGACACTGATGATGTCTTTTTCACATTTAATTCCTGAAGGGAGTCTAGGTAAGATATAAGATAAGCCCTGCAGAAACTTGGACAGAGAAACAATAAACCATTCTGCAGTGCTGGACAGCAGTCAGAAACAATGGCCATAGGAGTTCCCTAAGGGAATGGTATGGATGGGAAAACTTCCTACCTGACATGAGTCGCCAGCATAGGCAGGGGGGCAGGCACACATTTCCACAGCATGTGCTATGCGTCCGCTTCCTGTGTCAGAGGCTTCCTCTAGCCCCACCTCGCCCAGGGTGAGCCTCTGCGTCTCTGTGAAGTGGAGGCCTTGGATGCGCACATCTGCCAGTCTAGACAGCACTGTCATCAGCTCCTCCCTAGACACCGGGGCTCGGCTGCTGGCGTGTCTGAAGTTTCCCTACAAGTGGAAACAGAAAGGCGGGGTCTTCCTTAGGCAGGCTCACTTCCAGGGGTTCCTTAGAGGCAGACACCCCGAATGAATCAAAGAAGAGACACTTAAAACGCACAGGGAGAAATGAAATAAGATGGGGAAATACCTACCTCCTGGAGTATTTACATTTAGAAGTCAGATGTCCTGGGTTATTCCCATGAAGGAAGGAAAAGAAAATGAAGGCAGGGAAGAGGGGCAATAAAATGAAATAAAATTTTCCAGTGTTATACTGATCTTTAAATTGCTTTTGTTTGTGCAAACAGAAGGTGAGTGAGAAAGAAGGAAGGCAGGCATATGGAAACCACTGAGTCATGCAGCTCAGGTCAATCATTAAACATACACAACGGTGACAGAAAATACAATCCTTTCTTGCATAAACATTCACATCATTTTATTTTAGGTTTTTTTTTTTTTTTTTTTTTGAAATAGAGTCTCACTCTGTCGCCCAGGCTGGGGTACAGTGGTGCAATCCCGGCTCACTATAACCTCCATCTCCCAGGCTCAAGGGATTCTCCTGCCTCAGCCTCCTGAGTAGTTGGCACTACAGGTATGCGTCACCATGCCCGGCTAACTTTGTATTTTTAGTAGAGACAGGGTTTCACCATTTCGGCCAGGATGGTCTCAATCTCTTGACCTCATGATCTGCCCACCTCAGCCTCCCAAAATGCTGGGATTACAGGCATGAGCCACTGCACCCGGCTGGTTCTCAGGCTCATCTATGCTGTAGTTTATGGCAGGATTTCCTCCTTCTTTTCTTAAAGGGGATAATGTTTCATTGTATATATCTATATATAAACCACATTTTCTTTATCTATTCATCTGTTGATGGACATTTGGTTGCTTCTTGGGTATTGTGAATAATGCTGCAATGAACATGAATGTGCAAATACTTTGTCAAGATCCTGTTTTCAGTTATTTTAGATCTATAACCAAAAGTGGGACTGCTGGAGCATATGGTAATCCTACTTTTAATGTTTTGAGGAACTTCCTTAGTGTTTCCACAGTGGATGCACCATTTCACATTCCCAGCAAGAAGGTTGAAGGGTCCCAATTTCACCACACTTTTGTCAACACTTGTTAAGTTCTGTTTGGTAATTTTTTTTTTAAGACAGAGCCCGCTCTGTTGCTCAGGCTGGAGTGCAGTGGCGTGATCTTGGCTCACTGCAATTTCCGCAATCTCCACCTCCAAGGTTCAAGTGATTCTCCTGAGTACCTGGGATTACAGGTGCACCACATCCGGCTTTTTTTTTTTTTTTTTTTTTTTTTTTGAGACAGAGTCTTGCTCTGTTTCCCAGACTGGAGTGCAGTGGGGCAATCTTGGCTCACTGCAGCCTCTACCTCCTGGGTTCAAGTGATTCTCCTGCTACAGCCTCCCAAGTAGCTGGGATTATAGGCACATGCCACCACATCTGGCTAATTTTTGTTTGTTTAGTAGAGACAGGGTTTCACTATGTTGGCCAGGCTGGGTCAATGAACTCCTGACCTTGTGATCCATCCACCTCTGCCTCCAAAACTGCTGGAACAGGCATGAGCCACTGCACCCAGCCTAATTTTTTTTTTTTAATATTTTTGGTAGAGACAAGGTTTTGCCATGTTGACCAGGCTGGTCTCAAACTCCTGGCCTCATGATCTGCCTCCCTCAGCCTCCCAAAGTGCTGGGGTTACAGGCATGAGCCACCACACCTGGCCTGTTTTGCAATTTTTTAATAGTAGCCATCCTAATTGGTGTGAAATGGCATCTCATTATGGTTTTAATTTGCATTTCTCTAATGATTAGTAATGTTGAGCATCTTTTTATGTAAAAGCCTGCCTTTTTAACCTTTACATTTTGTTGCCCTTGTTGAACTCAGTTTTTATATCTCTTAAATAGGCATAGTAATGCCTAATGTCCTGAGGCTATCATTATAATTAAAGTAAATTAAATGATACAATGTACATAAAGTGTTCAGCACCATGCCTAGCATGTAGTAGGCATTCAATAAATGGTAGCTATTGCTAACATACAAATATAATACTCATTTTAATTTATACTTTAACAACTAAAGGAATAATTTATATACAATAATAATTCCTCATTTTAAGTGTACAATTTGTAATAAATTTACAGAAGAATGCAATCATCATAATATAATTTTAGAATATTTCTATTACCTTAAAAAAAACATCTGTGTCCATTTGTAGTCTCTACCCATTCCCACCCTCAAACCCAGGCAACCACTAATCTACATTCTGTTTCTCTGCATGTGTCCTTGCTGGACAATGTACATAAATGCCAGCTTAATTTCAACAGTATACAAAAACTGTGCTTCTATTAACATCATTCCCTCCTCTTTTCTTGTATGCTACTATTGTACAAATTGCATCTTTATACATTGTGTGCCATTTCCAGATGGTTGCAAGGCTTTGATTAATTTCCAGAGTTCTGAAAACGTTGATTCTGACCTTTTCTTTTCTTTTTTGCCAGTTCTCTAATTGCTTTTATGGAGGACAGAATTTTTAGAGGGATTCTCACTCTATCATTTACTGATATAATCTGTCTCACATAAATAGAATCATACAATATATTTCTTTGGTGTCTTGTAGTATCAACATTTTGTTTTTTTTTTTAATTGCCAAATAGTATTCCATTGTATAGATGTACCTGTTCAGAAACGTTAAATATGTCTGCAAGTTCAAAGTACTCAAAAAGTTTCATCTAGAGCTACTATACATATTTATTATGAATGGAACACTATTTTTAAGGAGTAGTTGTAACCAAGTAAGTATAACAAAAAAGCTCTGATGAGCTTTCCTTTATTTTGCTAGTATTACTCTTGTTTCTTTTCGTAGCTTTTTTATCTATTCATCCTAAGCATATGTTGAATATTAACCAGGTCTCAGGCACTGAGGGAGACCTGAGGATGACAGCGAGCTATGTCATAGCATTTACAAGCTCACAGGTTTTTTGTTTGTTTGAGACACGATCTCACTCTGTTGCCCAGGCTGGAGTGCAGTGGCACAATCATGGCTCACTGCAGCTTTGACCTTCTGGGACAAGCAATCTTCCCACCTCAGCTTCCCAACTAGCTGGGATTACAGGCGCAGTCCACCTTGCCCACTGAATTTTTGTTTTCATGCAGAGTTTTGCCATGTTGCCCAGGCTGACTCATGGAGTTTTTACAACTAGGATAATTAATTGTGAAATCAGAGAGACAATGTTAAAGGTCTGGACAGATGGTACCAAGAAAGCCACATGAGCATCAAACACTCTACATTTTATATAATTCGTATTTTGAATCTATACAAGTTGGGTACCTCTTGTCTGTGATCAGAAGTGATCCAAATTTCAGATTTTTTTTTTTTATTTTGGAACATTTGCATTGTATTTGCCTGCCAGTTTTTGGATTATTCCTAACCCAAAAATCTGAAACCTGAAATCCTCCAATGAGCATTTCCTTTGAGTGTCATGTTGGTGCTCAAAATATTTTGGGTTTTGGAGCATTTTGGATTTTCAGATTAAGGATGCTCAACCTGTATATATAAATTTATATTTATATAGAGTCTGTATTTTAAAATTCTTAAAATGAGTAAAAATCATGATTGTCTGAAATCATTAAGTCATAAAACAAAGGACCCTCCCCACTGTATAGTTGCTCTTCCTTTACCTCAACCACCTGCACTCGCCCGTGATGCAGCCGGTCTGGCCGTGGGGTATTTGCATCTTCATAGATGATGGACAAGTGCTGACCCTGTTTAAAGAAAACCATGAATGTGTTAGTGCCTTCACTGGGACTTTCAAGATTTATAACTGATCTAAGGAAATTTCTATGATCTACATCATATGACATACCTGACTTAAAAAAAAGTTCAGAATTAACTGACTGGTAAAAAGATTAGTGACATGGAAACAATAATTACAGGCAATACAGTGTCTTTTCACAAATAGGAAATCAGGAAAATTGCCTTGGCCAAAAATAATTTTTTTTTTTGGCAGGCATAGAGTCTCACTCTGTTGCTCAGACTGGAGTGAAATGGCACAATCTTGGCTCACTGCAACCTCTGCCTCCCGGGTTCAAGCAATTCTGCCTTAGCCTCCTGAGTAGCTGGGATTACAGGTGCTCACCACCACACCCTGCCTATTTTTGTATTTTTAGTAGAGAACAGGTTTTACCATGTTGACTAGGCTGGTCTCGAACTCCTGACCTCAAGTGATCCACCTGCCTTGGCCTCCCACAGTGCTGGAATTACAGGTGTGGGCCCACCACACCCAGCAGAAAAAAAAAATTTCTTTTTTTAAACTTTGCCTTGTAGTCAATGCAGGAAGTGCTGTTTTCATTACTGCCCACCGAACCAGACTGTGGTGGGAAGAAAGTGCTTTGGTGGATGGGTACTGAGGAGGGTGTGGAGGGCAGAGGGTTGGCCCATGCAGGGAGCTACAGGCTGGCATGTGGGGCAAGAAATTCCCCTGCTGCCTCCCTCTGTGGGACCCATCCTCATTCATTCTCAGCCTCCAGCCCGCTGCATTATGGTGGCTCACATTTGCATCTTAACAGGGCAGGCTGGGGTGGCCAGCAGCCTACTGCACCAGCACTCCACCATCAGCAACCCTGCTACAAAAACACATACAAGTCCCAGCTTTTCTGTGATAGCACCAAACCCTAGAGGCTTCCATTCATTAGGGCTGGTATTTCAGAAAGAAGACCATTACCTGGAATCACATATCATTTAAAACCTTAATCTAAGAAACATGCCCTAGAGACTCTTAATTATAGTGAATTAGAACAAAGCAGCAGGGAAAATGTTTCATAAGCCTAAATTATTTTCCATGTTTGAAGGTAAAATTAAACAGAAAATTTGGTTATTACCTTCCAGTGAATTCCAATGGTTTGCATAATAAACTCTTTGGCAGTAAAAAAAAAAAAAAATCGGCCTGGCCTGAACTATAAGATGCTCTGTAAAAACATGAAGCTGAAATACAGCACTGCTGTGGTGGTGTTTTTACTGTGTAGCTATTTTTCCTTAGACTACAATTCCAAAATCTTTGCTGCTTCATCTTCAAGATATTCTGCAAAGGTTCCTTGGAGTTAAAACAGTTCAGTAGATTTGCATACCAGTAAAAACAAAACACAACACAGCAGTACCTGAACACAAATATCTACCAAGAATGTGCTGCGATGAGGTGTGTGTGACTTGCTGCTCCCTGTATACAGTGCATGACATGAGAAAACCCTTCAGGAAGCTATTATTACATCACATGAATCACACCCCATAAGCCAGAAATAAAGCCGACTTCAGGCAATGGCCCCCTACCCGATGCTCACGGTATTGTGCCCTGTGTTGTGGGGAATTCAAAGTAGGATGTGATACTACCCTTGCCTTCAAGGAATTTTCTAGATGGCAGTACTGAATTGTGTGCCAGGCAAAGAGTGTGTGGATGTTGTTACTTCCCTTCTCAAAAAACAAATGTTCCCTCAATGGCAGATGAACCACTTGAGGTCAGGAGTTTGGGACCAGCCTGGCCAATATGGTGAAACTCTGTCTCTACTGAAAATATAAAAATTAGTTGGGCATGTTGGCCCATGCCTGTAATCCCAGCTACTCAGGAGGCTGAGGCAGGAGAATCACTTGAATCAGGGAGGCAGAATTTGCAGTGAGCCAAGATCATGACACTGCACTCCTGTCTCAAAAAAAAATTCCTGTTATAGCATCAGACCCTTTCAGACTTGTTTTGAATGACTGCACACACTGATGATACAGCCCTATTGGACTGGTCGTCCATGAGCACAGCCTTCTGCCCTGTACCACTGCTGAGCCCTGTTAGTCTTCATCCCTGCCCCCGGAAGGGCACTTCTCTTCGTATGCCCATTCTTAAAGACTTGGCTCAAAATGAACCACAAAGTCTTCTAAGGGCCTCTCAGACCACATGACTCCCATTCCCCCTACCCAAACCCCAGCACTGAGAGGGCTCTGTTTGGACTCTCCTCCAACAGTTACTGTTCAGTGGGTTGGAGTTCCTGGCATATTTCCCTGATTTCCCCTACTTTTGAGCAAAGGGGTCACTTGTCCTTTACAGAGTCCAACAATACAGTCTTGCCCCATGGGAAGGACTCAAAGACATTTATGAAACAAAATTAAAATATAGAAACATTAAAAAAAATGCTTAATATGTGGTGGGACATGTGGCTCACACCTGTCATCCCAGCGCTTTGGGAGGCTGAGCAGGGAGAATTGCTTGAGCCTAGGAGTTTGAGACCAGCCTGGGCAACACAGTGAGATCCTATCTCTACAAAAATTAAGGTGAAAGAAATTAGCTGGCCATGGTGGTGTGTGCCTATAACCTCAGTGCTCGGGGCGGCCAAGACAGGGGGGCTGCTTGAGGCCAGGAGTTCAGCTCTAGCTTGGGCAACACAGGGAGACCCTGTCTCTACAAAAATTTTTTTTAAAAGTTTTTAGAAAAATTTTAACATGGGGAGGCAGTAACTTGTGAGACGCAAGAGCAAAATACAGTTAAGTACTTTGGAGGTGAGAAGAGAGAAACCATTTGGTCAGAGGAGGCACGATCCTGAAAAGATGCTACTTGCTCTAAACTTTGACTTAGTTTCTACAAAATATTGGAAATGATTTAATCCAATTTTTTTATAGACCACGTATCAAGATGTCCTAAACTTAGATCAGCACCAACAGCAGCTGCCACTTCCTGCCACTTGGGTTGTGCCCTGATACCTACAGTGAGCTGCACGTCTGGCTTCTTTTCCAGAAGAACCATGTCACCAGGCAAGCCAAAGGACTTGGCTTGGTAAGTGAGGTAGCCACCATATGAAGAAACCTAAAATGGAATGAATAGCATCAATAGCACAAGCATTAAAAGAGATGACGTCGGCGTCAACCCACATGAAAAGCGCTTAGGCACACAAAGTGTGGAAAGAAACACACTCGACCTGTTCACAGGGTTGTATCTAGACAGCGGGGTTGAAGATGGTATTGTAACTTTCTACTTTATGCTATTTTTAATGTCATTTGAAATGTTTAGCATGAACATGGTTGAGTTTTACAAGCAAGAAGATACCTTTATTTAAAAGAAAAGTAAGGCTGAGTGTAGCAGCTCATGCCTATAATCCCAGCACTTTGGGAAGCTGAGGCAGAAGGATCACTTAAGGTCATGAGTTAGGCACCAGTCTGGGCAATGTTGCAAGACCCTGTCTCTACAAAAACATTCAAAAATTAACCAGATGTGGTGGTGTATGTTACTTAGGAAGCTGAGGTGGAAAGATCGCTTGAGCCCTGGAGTTTGATGCTGCAGAGAGCTATTTTTGTACCAATGCACTGCAGCTTGGGCAACAGAGCAAGACCCTATAAAAGAAAAAAGAAAGAAAAGAAAAGAAGAAAGAAAGGAAGAAAAGGAAGGAAGGAGGGAGGGAGGGAGGGAAGGAGGGAAGGAGGGAGGGAGGGAGGGAAGGAAGGAAGGAAGGAAGAAAAGAAAAGAAGAAGAAGAAAGAAAGAGAGGAGGAGGAAAGGAAGGAAGGAAGGAAGGAAAATAGTCATGTTTCTTTCTTTTCCAGATGATTACTAAACCAAAATGTTTATTTAATCCATAACTATTCTAGGAAATATAGGCCATTGGTTTCTTTTTTAACTGAGAGAACTGAATAATATCTATCAGTCACAAAGTGAACCTCTAAAAATAAATTGTCTCCAAAAACAATTCTCCTGAAAGCAGATGGTGAACATTTCCCAAATTATTGTGAGTTCTGCTGGGTACAGAAGCCATGGCTGAGTACTCCAGCAGGCGCACAGACATCTCAGTGTCGCACAAGCAGCATGACACTGGTGGGGATATGGAGTGAATGGTCACAGTTTTCTGACAGCTACTTCACACTTTGGGTCCTGACACCTCCCACCCTTAACACAATCAAGAAGGAAAAAGTCACAGAAGGATGAAAATCACAGGCAAGATCACCTCTGATTAGACAGAACGAAATAGCCTACCGGGAAACGCCAACAACTTAGAGCAGGCAGGGAGAAGAAGCCATGCTCCTCTGGGATTCCATTCAACAGAAGCTTTACCCTAGAGTCTGTAACCTGACAAAGTCTTACAGAGTTTTGATCTTTAAGCCTGGAAGTGTTCCAAGGTAATGTCTTGAATTATTATTGCGATTAAGTATGGCTTTTTTGATGGACTTAAAGTGGTTTTAAAAACATGGCCACAAATTCTTTGCACTCCTGCCTTCAAGAGGTAGAGCTTAATTCCCCCTCCTCTTTTTTGTTTCTGTTTGTTTTTCTGAGATGGAGTCTTGCTCTGTCACCCAGGCTGGAGTAGAATGGCATGATCTTGGCTCACTGCAACCTCCACCTCCCAGGTTCAGATGATTCTCCTGCCTCAGCCTCCCAAGTAGCTGGGATTATCAGCGCCCACCCCCATGCCTAGCTAATTTTTGTATTTTTAGTAGTGACAAAGTTTCATCATGTTGGCCAGGCTGGTCTCAAACTCCTGACCTCAGGTGATCCACATGTCTCAGCCTCCCAAAGTGCTGGGATTACAGGCATGAACCACCAAATTCCCCTCCTCTTGAGTGTAGGCTGCGCTTAGTGACTTGCTGCTAATGAATAGAATAAAGGAGAAGTGAGGGCATGGCAGTTCTGAAATTAGGTTATAAAAACACTGCAACTTCTGTCTTGAGCTCGAACCCTCTCTCTCTCTCTCTCTCTCTCTCCCTCTCTCCCCACCCTTACCTGCCCCTTATGAGTTGCTTTGGAGGAAGCCAGCTGCCATGTCATGAGGACCCTCAGGTAGCCTATGGAGGGTCTCACGTGATGAGAAACGGAGGCATCCAGTCCATAGCCAGCAGGAAGCAGAGGCCTGCTAACAGCCATGTGGTTGAGCTCGGAAGCAGATGCTCCAGTCCCAGGTGACTACAGCCCTGGCTGACATCTTAACAGTAGCCTTGGAAGACTCTGGTCCATCCCTTCCTGAATTCCTCATCCAAAATAATCATTATTGCTTTAAGCTGCAATGTGTTGGGGTAATTTGTTACATAGCAAGAGATGATCAACATATGGGCCTATCATACAGGGATGAAAAGGAGTATTATATGAGAGAGAAGTGGGATCATAGGAGAAAGGCAACATTGCCCACACTCAGATGTCAAAACCCACAGTCCTTCACCCAGAAGCCGAAGTTAGAGACCTCAGGCCAGCGAGGCCCTACTATTTAGTCCTCCTAATGTCAGAAGATGGCATCCCCTGAGCCAGGCCCTGTGAAATCCACCCGTTAGCAAGTTCCACGCTTGCTAAGAAACATACATGACCTGATGGCGTTTCCACATGAGGCCTGAGTTTCTGTCCTCATAAAATGCGTGGAGGTGGCCAGCCTCTGGCATAGTAGCTCATGCAGCAAGGGAAGAGCAAGTGGTGTGTGAGCCCCTGAGGGGTGTGGAACAAACGCGATTCTGCTTACGAAAGTCAGACTGCCACTGGAGCCTGTTTCTTTTAATAAGCTTGTGAGTCACTTGTCAGCCTTTGTTTTTCTAACAAAGAGGCTTTCTTCCGCCTTAAAATAAAGAATTCTCAGCATTTAAAAGCATGCATGTCCCATTTGCAATAGATGTGATTTAAATGGTTATTTCCCTGGAGGAAAAGTCTTTGACATTAGGTAAAAACTGAGAAAAACATTGTGGGTGATTTCCTTTGCTGGTAGCTCCTGCGTGGCGAGGGTGGGGCGCGGGGGGTGCCTGCCCAGCCCCCCACAACAGGAGGCAGGGTCTCTTCTTCATTTTTAGTTCACCCAATTTCCGGAATGTTAGGAACCTAAACTGCTGAATGCTTCCTTCCAGATTTCCAGGAAATGACGTTCACACAGCGATAGCAGAGGCCCACCGAGGGCCCAGAAGAACAGCAAGACATCATTACCTTGTCCCCCAGGTAGGAGGCGGGTGCGACCCAGGACGCGCTGCGGACGGTTGTGGGCAGCTCCTGGAGATCCGCCACCATGCTGTTGCTGCCCGGGTTGAATGAGACGGGGATATCCACTCTGTCTGCCGTCTCCAGGCGCCAGCCCAGCATATCCACAAACTGGAATGAGGGAGAGAAGCAAGGGACGGAAACATCTTGGTTGTGGCATCCCTGGTGACGGCTGCATGATGTCCTAGAGAAAGCTTGACGGGCAGCCTCCTTGCCTCAGAGGCCTCCTTTATGTGTCTCCTCTGGCACCTGCCCTCCCGATCCCGAGCCCCATCGGACCCATTGCCACTGGGAGTTCTGGGAAGGCAGCGGCCACACATACGTGGGATTTATCTTTGTAACCCAGCACACATCCTGGTTCTTGACATTTAGTAGGTGATCAATAAGTGTTCACATAATAAAGAAATACGTGTATGAATAAAAACTAGGACTATGGTGTCTTTAATGGCAAGCTCCTCATAGAGACAAATGTGATGTGGAATTCAGCGGCCTGCTATTATTGTTTTTCTCTAAATGGAGCATCAAAATTAAATCTTTTCCTGGTCACAAAGGAAGCCAGTTAATTTTGAGGTAGAAAAGAAAGAACTGGCCAGGGATAGGATTGGATTAATGTTTTCTGGTTCTCAGGGGTGGGGAGAAGAGACTTCAGAGCAGATTTACAATTTTTTTTTTCTAATTACTAGCTGCACCTCTTTTAGGAGACAGGCAGTAAAAGATAAAATAGGCAGGCAGTAAAATACATAAAACAGTCTTTTTTGGGCTGGGGCAGTGGCTCACATCTGTAATCCCCAGCACCTTGGGAGTCGGAGGCAGGCGGATCACCTGAGTTCAGGAGTTCAAGACCTGCTTGGCCAATATGGTGAAACCCTCTCTCTATTAAACACAAAAATTGGCCAGGTAGTACTCAGGAGGCTAAGGCCGAAATCGCTGGAACCCAGGAGGCAGAGGTTGTGGTGAGCCAAGATCATGCCACTGCACTCCAGCCTGGACAACAGAGGGAGACTCCATCTCAAAAAAAAAAAAAAAAAAAAGTCTTTTTTTGACTACTTGTTGGATATAAGACATGACTCACACAAAACAAGCAAGCATGAGGTTACTGGTTCATGGAATAATGAAAAGAAAAGTTTCAGTTTTATGAAGTTAATTTAAAAAATGGCCAAAGAAGGCTGGGTGCAGTGGCTCACGCCTGTAATCCCAGCACTGTGGGAGGCTGAGGTGGGAGGACTGCTTGAACCCAGGAGTCTGAGACCAACCTGGGCAACATGGCAAAATCCCGACTCTACAAAAAAATATAAAAATTATCCAGGTGTGGTGGTGCATGCCTGTAGTTCCAGCTTACTCAGAAGGCTAAGGCAGGAAGATTGCTTGAGCCCTGGAGGCGAAGGCTGCAATGAGCTATGTGATTGCACTCCAGCCTGGGCAAGAGAGACCCTGTCTCAAAACAAAGAAAAAAAAAGTGGCCAAAGAAAAGATATGGTAAAATAGATGAGAAGGAAAGCAAAACAGAAAGAAGTAAAAACAAGAAATGAGAGGTGTGATAGATATTGTGACATGATGAGAGAGATCAATTTGGTCATTACTACCAGTTTCTGGCACAGAGCTCCTAAAACGCTTTCAATTTTCTGAATGACAGGGGTGATAGGAGCATCATTTGCCGTGATACTTTATCTCAGTCCACAGTTCCTGACGCCAGAGCTTCTAAGACTCTTGGACTCATGATGGTAACAGTGCCTCTTTGTGTGCTAATGAGATGACTGGTGGCTAGATCCTCTCAGTAGCTTCAGGATGGGGGCATGTAGCCAGGAAGACCAAGGTAGGATGAGAGGGTTGGGACTTTCAGCCCTACCCCCAACCTCTGAAAAAGGGAGAGGGACTAGAGATTGAGTTAATTATCAATAGTTGATGATTTAACCAATCACATCTACATCAAAGAGCTACCAAAAAACCCCTAAATGATGGCTTGGGAGAGCTCCTGGGTGGGTAAACACATCTGCATGCCAGGAGGGTGGTGCGCCCTAACTCCCATGCCCGGAACGCCCTGGACTTCACCCTGTACACCTGTTCACCTGGCTGTTCCTCTGTATCCATTATCATATTCTTTATAATAAACCGCAATAGTAAGGAAAGTGTTTCCTGAATTCTGGGAGCCATTATAGCAGATTATCAAACATAAGGAGGGGGCTGTGGAAAACCCCAACTTGTGGCAAAGCACTAGAGAAGCACTGGAGACCTGGGACTTGCAACTGGCATCTGAAGTAGGGACAGTCTGGAAGAACCGAGCCCTTAGCCTGTGCAGTCTGATGCCACCTCCAGGTGGAGAGTGTCAGAAGTGAATTGAATTGCAAGACACCCCGGGAGTGTCTAGAGAGAATCAGAGAATTTGGGGTATGGAAAAAAACCCACACATTTGGTGTTAGCGTGTTGTGAGTATAGATACAGGATTTTCTTTTAAGGGGAAAAATAACAAACTCTATTTATCTAATGAGATTTATTGGGCATCTATTATGTCCCAGATCCTGTTCTAGGCACTAGGGATGTGTCAGTGAGCTCACATTCCAGGGATGGAGGAAGAAGGGCAATAAACAAATTTTAAAACAGAATGTTAAATATGTTAGGGAGTGCTGACTGCTGTGGGGAAGACAAGGGTAAGGTCATCAAGAGTGATCAGGGTGTGCTATTTCACAGGGAGTAGTGAAGGAAAGCCCCTCTGAGCACATGACATTCGAGGAAACACCTGATGAATTCAGGAAACAAGAGTTTTAATACGCTGCAGGCCAAGGAACAGCGAGGACAACACTTACCATTTAACAAATCCATGTACAAAACGCTCCCCAGCACTTCCTGTCAATGCATACCTTAGATCTTCGCTTATGTGAACTGTGACATTGATTATTTACTCCAAAACAGAAACAGCTGGTACAACCCTTGAGATTGGCTGGGTCCAAGTGGAATGATCCTTCTCGACACACATCACACTCTGTGCCTTCTACGTTTTCCTATTGAAGCAAAACATGAAGGAAGAGATTACTTCTTCTAAAGTTTCCCTAGTTGCAATTAGCTACTTGCACAAATTAAATACCAACAGAAGACGTTAGAATGAGGATATGAATGAAACATTAAAAGAGACATTAATTATTAAGCTTTCATCCCATGATAATTGTTTAAACTTTTATGCCACACATGAATGGAGGAGAGAATTCTCCAAATTTGATAAGATGCCCCTGGGGTATCTTGCAAGTAGAGAAATAGCACCGTATGGTTCACAGTACAGGGAGACCAATTCATCTCACTCACCACCACCTTAAAACATCTGCTGGGAACTGGAAGGTCTCCTACAACCTGGCGGAACCCCTTGGAGCAGAGATGATCACCTGGAGTCCACGGTCCAGGAATGGGTTTTAGGGGAACCTGCGGACCTCATGAAACTGTAGATTAAAGTTTGTGTTGATTTTTCTGGAAAGGGTCTATTCTGTCATCAGATTCTAAGGGGGTACATGACCTCTCCAAAAGCTAAAAGGGGTCTTGCCTCCTAACTATTTCTATAAAATGAGATCATGACTATAAAATGCTACACACACTATGAACAACTATTATGGGTCAGTCCCATTTCCCACATACTTTTCTATGTTAACTCAACATGAAGCACTTCCCCGCTGACTGGTAGCTGGCGCCTCTGGCATTACACAATCATTCTTACCTTGCAGAGGCAAGCCCCCGTCCCTGGGTCACACACTCCTGGCTCAGTCCCATCTCTGTTGCAATCGCAGGGAACACACTCAGGGAAGTGGTAAAACCCAGAAGCACATTGGTCACACTGCTGTCCTGTAATTCTGGGCTTGCATCTGTACACGAAGTAAAGGAAGCAAAAATCATCATCTTTGAACACACAATTTTCAGGTGCTCACTTACACTACAGTGGAGTAGTTGGCGTGCAAAGCCAGTTAGATACAACGCCTGCTTATAGTCCAAGGCAGAATGGAGAGAAGCAGATAAAAGGCACTCACAGAAAGTAGGTCATTGACCATTGGCCATTGTGGATGGTCATGGATGACCATCGTAGATAGGTCAGGCTTAGCACTAGGTGCTGGAGGTGCAAGAAGGGACGTGGCCCCTGAGCCTAGAGGGCTCCTGCAGATGGCCCATGAGTAGAAATGATGATGATACATACACAGGGTCTAACTGAGGTTCAGAGAAGTAGCAAGTGACCCAATCACAAGTTTCCCTGGGGAAAGTAACTCCTGCCCTGAGCTTTAAAGGGCAGAGTCATGGGGTAGGAGTTGGGATGGACATTCCAGAGAGAAGGAACAGAGCGAGAGATCACCCCGCATGTGCAGAGAACAACACAAGCGTGGTGCTCCTGGGGCGGATGTCCAGGCAGGGAATGCTGCCCCATGGCCTAAGGAGGTAGGTGGTACCAGATCATCAGGACAGAGGGGCTGGACACTGTCCCATGGCAGCACAGAACAGGAGTTGAGACCTGTGTATCCAAGGCTAGAGTTCTAATCCAGCTCTGACCATATGAGACATACCATCTCAGTAAGTTCTCTAACTTCCTGAAGCCTGCTTTTCATATCTGTGAGGGACAGAATATGGTAGCTGCTGCCTCCTGGGATTGCTGGGAACCCATGAGGCAGTGCATGAATGCATGCAAAATTTCAGCCCAGTGCCTGGCACACGACAAGTTATAGACAGGGGGAGACTGTCATGAATAGCTGTTACGAAGGAGAGAGTGTGGTTGGACTTTTATGAGGGATGGAGCCCAGAGGGTGAATTCCACCAGCAGCAGCAACAGGCTGTCAAGTCAGGAGAGAGACTGGAGGCTGACCTAGGGCAAGAATATTCCAGATGAGGAGGAGGCATAGGCTCCCGAACTATTTTGGGGTGACGTTTCTGGGAACTGTAATATTCTGGGTGAAGAGTAGAAGAAAGAGGAGAAGACGAGAAGACTCCCAATTTCCCTGCTTGGGCAACAGAGTGGATCTTAACGCCCCTTGTCATCTGTAAGGGGCAGAGCTTGGAGAAAAGCATGGTATGGGGGACACGGGGGTCACTGAGTCATCCATCCTCATCCATCTGCAGGTCCTTTTAACTGAAGCATTGGGCAGACAAGGAAATACAAGCAGCTGAGCAGAGGCAGAAGAGCAGTGGGCTATGGCCGTGCCTGGAGAGCCCAGAACTCGAGGTCGAGGAGGGGAAGAGAAATTGCAGTGAGCCCTGGGGAGCCAGGCACTGCATTCGGAGCTAGGATCTACCTACACACGGACTAAGGGAAGTATTAGAAATACGTTTTATTGTCACATATGGAAAAACATTTTATCATTCTAATACTACCAAATGTAAGCCACCACCTATCTCCTAGAACCTATGAAAATATCTTACCCCGCTGACTATCCTAAAAAAGTGAAATATGACTTCATATCCCATTAAGTTTCTCTCTGGCAAATCTCTGCATAAAAAGGATTTTGTATGTGATTAAGAATATGAATTCGGAACCAGGCAACCTACGTTAAATCCCAACTCTACCACTTACTGGACCTTGGGCAAATTAGTCTCTTTACAACCAAGTGTCTTCACCTGTGAAAATGGAGATAACGATACCTACTTCACGGCATTGATGTGAGGATTAAATAATACATGTCAAAACCTTAGAGTAGTTGCTTGCACACACGTAAGTATTTGCTATTGCTATTCCAGCTGTGACATGGGCTAAGAAGAGCAGACGGCTGCCTTTCTGTCCACTCAGCACGCCTAAAAGGACTAACTCAGCACTACCTGCAAGACTTGTTGGCAAGTTCTGTCTTTCAGTTCCATCCCTGTCATCTCTCCCTACCTGATCCCTGCAGAAATGATTCCATAAGGAAGTAGCCTCAAAACCACATTTAGAGCAATGTAGATATAGAGTATAAATATTCTGCATGAAGTGCATGGCTCTAGTGCAGTGGATTGTAAACTCTGGGAGGGGTTCTGAGACTCTTTTCGAAAGCTGGGTAAATTATGGGCCATCTTCTCGGAAAAGTGTCCACTACACTCACAGAAAGACTCACTCTCACATACACACAATTTTGCATTCTCTATCAGAGGGTTCCCGGCTCCAGGTTAATAACACCTACTCTCTTCTTGTGACTCTGAGACTAAAGGTAACCCAACAGTCTGGCAAAAAATAAAATAAAATAAAGCCTGTTCCCAGTTGATTCATTATTTCTGCAGAGACAGAAAGCGTGGAGCACAAGGACTTTGGTGGTCTAGAGATGGAAACGAAGAGAGTGCAGATGACCCTCCCAAAATAAAAGCCATCAGAGAGAGGAGCCTTAGAACAGAAGAGGGCCTTTGGAGATGGCCTGACATAGGCTGGGGGAACCTTACTTCTCTTTTCCTGGCAGTGAAGGAAAGAACACTGTGCACAGAGGGACAGTGCTGCCATGAAGTGCCAACCTGGCAGACTGGCATCCCAAGGTCTGAGCATTTCTTTTAGCAAATATGTGAGGCTTCTGGCCAAGGGAGCATTAATTGGATGCTGGTGGCAGGTGAAAAACTCACTGAATGCCACTGGTGGGCACAAATCCGTGTCCCCTGAGCAAGTGATCTGAGCCTTTGGACCTGAAAGGGGAGATCATACAGACAGGAGCCTGCGTTTTATATTTCCACTTCACTGGAAAGGAAACGGACAGGAGTGTTTGCAGCAAGGGCAGCTATGGAAGCTGCTTGTCCAGACAAGGAGGAAGGGAAGCAAAATCATGGCTGACCTGTGTGTTCACTTCAGAATGTATGTGAGATGATGTGGTAGAAAGAGAGTGACTGAGAGCGTGTGGCCAAGTCAGTAAAATAGGACCAAGCTCTGATCCTCACTCAGCATGTGGGTAGCAGCTGAGAGCACTAAAGCAGATGGAAAAAAGCCAACAGAACAGAGGGAGGGGAGCAGCGGCCTGCACATGGACCCTGAGTGGCCTCACTGGAGCTGCTAGGCCAGGGTAAACCAAAACAATATCTATATTCCTGAGTATGGCAATACTTAGATCGTTGAGCTTGTGCCTCCTGTGCAAAGACAGTTTTTGGTGTTTCCATGCCAACAAGGAAGGTTTTGGTGGTGCCATGACAATAGGGAAGAAATAGGATACTTCCTCTTAAAAATCTGGCTGAACTTCCTTTAAAATGACTTCAAGTCAGCCTGACTTGGTACGTTTCTCCACAGCAAATGGTACCCAAGGAACAGCCCTACCAGAATTTATGGTACCCAAGTAGCAGAATGGCAATTCTGGGGAAGCAGGTCAAGAGAAGTCATCTCCATGGCAATGAGCTCCTGGTCAAATGCTATGTGACAATATCTGGGCATTGGTGGGTGCTTGCCTTGTCTCAGAGAATCAGGCCCAGATGTGTTGGGGGGAGCTGCATCCTTTGGTCATTAAATACTATAGGGCCTTTCATATTATGCTCACGTCAAAGTCCAGTTTTAATCTAGAGCCCAACGTCTACCTTATTCATTCATTTATTCACTCAAGAAGTATGGCGTGCCTTCTACATACACATTCCTGTGTTAGTGCACATGGGAGAGAGGGGACAAAGTAGAATAAGTCAGTCTTGACGTAGACACGTTTTCACTGAGGACACGGGACCTAGAATGTGGAAATTAAGAGAGAAGCTAGCTAAGCAGTCAACTTGCTTGGCCAATCAGATGATGAGGAGATCTCTGTGGACTCATAGAAGGCTCCTTGCATTCTTTGAGTTTATGCTTTTAACACAAAAATCCTTGAAGGACAGGCATAATTTGGGGGTACTAGAAGAGGAGGGAGCCCTTTCATAACTGGAGAACAGAACATAGACAAAAAGTGTTTAGAGGAAGTGAGAAAACCAAGCCAGAGAAGAAAGCAGAAAAAACAAAAGGCTTTAAGAGTTAGGGTAGATGGAAGTCAGATCATCATGGAAAGTTGGTCTTTTTCCTGTGAGACAATGGGGAGTTGGGGAAGCTTCTTGAGCAAAGAGTGTGATGTCAAGGCAGTGGTGTTCCCATAATAGCCCACACACAATATGGCGCTCACTATGCTGCACTGTCACTATTCGTTAGAACAGGTGCCCCCATGAGACCACAGACATGTGTGCCTTCCACACGAAGCACAGCACCCAAGCTGGAGCAGGTAGTAGATGCACTTTGAGCAACAAAACACATGCAAAATAAAATTTAAAGAAAAGGAAAAAAAAAAAACCTCACAAGGAACTGAGGAAGATGTTTCATCCTCATTAAAACAACAAAAACAAACAAAAATACATGCCAAGAAGATAAAATCACATTTAAGGGTAGGCTGTCATGAAACAGAAAGAAGATAAAATCATAAACATACACACATTTATCAACACTGTCTCAAGTTCACAGATTAATAGAACCATGGATTTGTAACAAAATTAAGGGAAAGACAGATATTTGAATCCCAATATAATTGTTCATTTAGTATATTCCTCTTAAAGATCCAAAAAAGAAAGAAAGAAAGAATGAATGAATGAATGAATGAATGAGTAAACCAGCAAAAGGAAGGTCAATTAGGAGAGCATCAATATCATTTGCACATCAAGTAGTAAAAGGACTTAGCCAGGCAGTAGACAGCCTGGAAAGCAAGGGGGATAATATGTTCCTTGCCAGAAGTTGACACCTCACTGGCTGTCGGGAAAATGGGTTGATTCTGAGATGATGCTCAGATTTCAGGCTTAAAGAACTGGAAAGAAGTCATTACTATAAAGTAGAATTTTTTTTTAATCCAAAGGGAGAAATGGCTCGAAAGGGAAGACAATGACATGGGTTTCAGAGATAGTATCAGTGTTGCAGAATTCAGGAGTTAATGATTATCCAATCTAGCTCTTCATAATATATGTGAGGAGACAGGAGCCCAAAGAGCTTAAGGACCTTGTCCAAGGCTACCTGCGTAAAGTCAACAAGAGAACCCAGGTGGAGTTGATTTTAAATAAAGGTGGAATAGGACAGCTTTCAAGGATCAGGACTGGAGCTGTGGATCTGGGGATCATCCAGGAGTGGGGGTGGCTGAAGCCAGGAGAATGGGTGGAGTCTTGGGGACAAAGCATAGAGGGAGGAAGGCAGACAGCCATGAATGACCTTGGCAAATAACCACATCAGCTAATACTTACTGGGTGCTCAGAATGTATCAGGTACTGCTTTCAGTGTGTTCACAGAGGATATTTAACTCTCTACACAACTTTAGGAGGTAGGTGCCTCCAGGACCCTTATTTTATAGATGAAGACCTAAGGCTCAGAAGACAGAAGTAATATGGCTGAGGTCACCCAGAAAGTGAGCAGCAGAGACAGGGCGCAACTCACACTACACATTCTCTTGGTCTGGAGGCAGAAGGAGAAAATGAAGCCAGTAAAATGGCCAGAGAAGGATTATCAGAGAGGTGAGAGGAAGACCCCAGTGTTACAAGAGACGAAGGACGACAGAGGGTGTGCAGGTGAGAACCCTGAGTTCCTTCTGTGTGGTTATAGAGGTCATCGCTGTGTCAACAGCACATCCCAGTGCCTTTACACTGCCTGACCAGCCTCACTGATTATTTGATAAGGGGCATCAAAGAAATTGCCTCACCAAGTTGTTAGGGTTCATGAACTGATGCCTAGCTGGAAGTCCTTCTGTTCTGAGAACACCCAAATCTGTGACCTTTTCTGGTTTTTAATTTCTCCATTTAACACAAAGTCTCAGTAAATCTGAGCAGAGATAGAGGGCATCCCCAAATCTCTCCTGTGGCTACTACCCTTGTGAAAAGGCATGAGGTACACGTGGCTTCACTGGATGTCCAGGTGCACTGCCATCTCCTTGGTCAATCTGAAAATAACTTGGATGTGGTCAACAGCATGGCAGTTTTTATCAGGGATCTCCAGCTTCCTTGGTCTGACACAGATGGACAAAGTCTTCTGAAGATATTCTAGCCCTTTTGTGTATTCAGAGAATCTGATGGCACATATCTTCCATTATTAGGAGCAGATAGAAATTTATTTTTTCATCACTATAGACATATATACTGTCGTGTAATGCTATAAAAAAATGAAGTTTTGATCAATATAAGCATCTTTTTTATCTTGATCTAATAGAGTTGGCCAGAATAACAGACCTTTTGATAATTACACAATATAGTCTGCGATACAATCAGAGATTGAAAGAGAAATGGAATCAGAATTTTAAATTTAGATAGGAAGTTAGAGATGGTTTTACCAAACTTCATTTTACAGAGTAAGAAACTGAAAACCAGGAGGACAAAATGACTTTCCCAGTCTCATCGCTGGGACTTGCCAAACATGAGTCAAAGGCTCAGTTCTATGGTTCCAACTTCATTTATTCTCATTGACTCTAAAACTACAACTCCAGGTTTACTTAAGTGAAGGGTGAGTATTGTGGATTGCTCAAATTATTTCTGTAAATCATTTTAAAGTAGGTGAATATTTGTAACAGTTTGATTTTCTTATAGTATGATAAAACTGAACACCTATAAGTAGTCAAATACAGTTTGAAAATTGCAGTTTTCCAGCTTTGTAGTTTGTGATGCTTTGTACAACTGCAGGACGATCTGTTATGTGACTGTGAAAGGATGTGTTTTCCTTTTTCTCACAAACTCTGGGTATCTCTGATTATTTCTTTTACACGAGCTTTAGACTCCTCTAAACATGTTTTTCATAAAGGAAATTTTCTAGGGAGGGAAAACAAAACAGGCAATCAAAAGCTTTTTCGGCATTTACACTGAAATTATCATGGGCAATTTATGGTAATGTAAGTTTTCTTACATTTTCTGCCAAGGCCCTTTTATAACAAATCCACTTTGATCATGGGAAGATGTATTATCCCATTAGATTATTATAGTCCCTTTCCTAAAGTCAAAAGTAAACAGTTTTATATCTTGGTTTAAGTGTAATACAAGTCAATAAGATTCCATTTCTGATGATGCTGTCAGGCTTGGGCAAAACTTACTACAGACATGCCTCCATCTTGAGTTAGAAATTTTCCAGTCTATTAAATTATCATTGGCAGTGAGAGTTTGTTAAAAATAAAACTCCTTAGAATTTTTACGTAAAATACTACAGTAAATCTGTTCATCACTTTCTGGTGCCTTGACAAGATCAAACATTTTTTTAAAGCACTCTTGGTTTTCTTTTTCTGTGATAGCAGCATTGAGAAATTGTGTGTGAAGTTCCATTTGCCACGATTTATTGTTGACAAACTACTCCCTTTGAAAACTCTACTGCTTCCCTTCCTGCCGGAAAACCGCGGCTCCATCTCCTCCTTGGTTCCTTTGTTTCCTGTGATTAAACACAGGTATCCCATCCGGTTCTTGAGTGACTAAGCTGACTCAGGCAGGACTCACACCTATGGTTTTAAAGACTTGGAATGTTTTATGATTCAAATATTTCTCCCAGTTTCCTTACAAGGTCCCAGTAGTACAAAGGAGTTGGTAGGCACCAGCTAACAGTGAAAGGTGTGGTGAAGGGGCCTTCCTTACACAAGTGAACACGGCTGCTGTGGAGAGTTAAATTGTATCCCCAGAAAAGACCTGTCCGAGTTCTACCCCCAGTACCTCGTCTGGAAAAGGGTAATTAAGTTACCTTGTCGGTGTAATTAAGTTAAGATGAGGCTATACCGCAGTATGACTGGTGTCCTTATAAGAAAATGAGAAGAGACAGAGACGTACAGAGAGGAGAATGCCACAGGAAGACAGAGACACACAGGGAGAACAGTGTGTAATGGCAGAGGCAGAGGTGGCAGTGACGCAGCCACCAGCCCAGGGACTCCCAGGAACACCTGCACACCAGAAGTGAAGAGAAAGGCATGGAACAGGTTCTCCTGCAGACCCTCCAGAAGAAACCAACACTGCTGACATCTTGATTTTGAATTTCTGGGCTCCAGAAATACGTGAGAGTAAATTTCTGTTATTTTAGCATCGTTTGTGACATTTGTTAACGGCAGCCACAGGAGACTACCACAGCCGCCCTCGAGCGGGAGTCACTGAGGCCTGTCCCCAGCTTCTGGCTCTCACACCCAAATTACAGACTCCATAACAGCCATGTGCCTGGGTGGGTGCTGAAGGGAGCGGGGTGCATGGTGAACATTCTGCTTTCTCCTGCACACTGCCATCCTGGCCTGGACTCTGGAAGCTCTGACTCAGTTTCCCTGCCATATCGCCACTGATCTAATTCTTACCCGTCCCTCCTTCCAGGAGCCATCCCCTTTCTCTGGCCCCTGCAACCCCCCAGCTCAGTCCTGCTGAGATCAGGCTCATGACCTGGAACCATGTGACACTGGCCTCTACGTTCCAATGTAGCCCCTGAACCAAACCTCTCAGCAACGCAGCATCTGCTTGAGCCAAGGTCTCCATCTGTCCCTTAGCTATTAAGTACTGGACTGCTTGGTGGTCCTCTGTGGGAAGTCCCACTCTCAGGCCAGGCTCTCCAGCCTGTCTCCTGCTCCCCCTGACTCCCTCCTCACTCCCACCAAGCTCCGCCATGGAGGCCTCAGCATCCCTTCCAGCCCATCCTCACCAAGGATTTCAGACTTTGTCATGCACTGACCTGAACCACACTGCCCGCGAACCCTGGAAGGAGGGTATGAAGCTCATACCTAAGTACAAATGGACAGGTGCTTGCCACAAGGCAGCCCAGCGAAGCACACAGATACCTTCATTATGCATACATCACGCCTCTCCCACTTTTGTCTCGTGACACACCAGAACTCAGTCCCATAGTGACAGCATGCTGGAGTCAATGGGCAAGGCTGCTGCTGGCCCAAGGCAACTGGCATCTGTCCACGCAGGCTCTGCCCAGCTCTGAGCTAAGGGACTGATCACTCCACCCACTGCAACCCATCCTGGCTGGAAAACTCACGCTGAGGTCAACACAGGGCACCCCAGACAGGGTGGAAAGTGATAGTGACCAGTGTATGGGCAGATGGCACACAACCTCCCTGTGACAGAAGCGGACAGGCTCCTCCCCCCAGCTCACCTGCACTGCCCGCTGTCCCGGTCACACTCCAGCATGGCAGCCTCGACAGTGCCCCTCCTGGAACAGTTGCAGGCTTCGCAGCCGGCCACGGGGTGGAAGCTGAACGAGTGTGTCTCACAGACCTCGCACTGGGGCCTGACTGTGCGGGGAGGGCAGCGGCACTGCCCCGTCATCTCTTCACAAAGTTGCCGGCCACAGCTGCATGCTGGCCAGGGGATAAAGAAACGCCATGTGAGGGTCAGAGGCCGCCTGGCCTCCAGCAGTGCTGCACCAACTGCCAGGCTTTCCAGAAGCTTCTAAGAGGTCTGAGAGAAATATTTGGATCTGAAAGACCCATTTCTTGGAGTCAACACCAATCACACCAAATGCTCATGGCAGACAGTGTGGATGGGAATGAGGAGCAGCGGTGCCAGCCAGCTCCAAGGTAGACCCTTGAAGGAGCCCACCACGCTGCCACTGTGTGCCACTCGTATGGGGCCTCTGGACCATCGGAGGATTCTGGAAATTGGCAGGAGACTGCTCACAGGCTCCCTAAAGTGGGTCCACATCCATATCACCCCAGTGCCCTGCGGCTCCAGAGCCCAGGACCGGGGCACGACCTGGCAGCAGGGTCCTTGTTCCCTGGCCTCCACATGGGGACTCTGTACACTGCATTCCTCACTGCAGTCACATGAAGGGAGCTGACCCTACCCTTCGGGCCACAGGATGGTTCTTAGATTAAGGTCCCACGGGTTCTCATTCAGAGAGTAGGGCTGCCACGTGACCCTGGCTGTTCTATCGCAACTGAGTTTGGGTTGGGCCAAAAAAATGGAAGGTGCTTTGGTGAGGAAGGGGATCAAACTCTCCAAGACTCTGATGTTTCAGACTTGTCACACTCACTTGTTTTGCCAAGTGCATAGGTCACACAGCAGGGGAATCACAAACACTTACCTTCTAGAACATTACTACTCTGAGTGTGGTCCATGGACTAGCAGTATTGCTACTCAGAGTGCAGTCCATGGACCCGTGGCCATTTATTGGAAATGAAGAGTCTCAGGCCCTAGCCCGGGTCTCCTGAATCAGAATCTGCATTTCTCAAGATCTCTGGGTGAGTCTGTAGCACAGTGACACGGAAGGAGCCTGCCCTAGATGAGCATCATCCACACGGGACAAGAGCAGACCTCAGGTGATGGGAGACGTGCACTTACGCCTGCAGCGTGGGAATCCGTAGTGGCCTGTTGCACAGCGGGTGCACTGCCGCCCGATGACATTGGGCCGGCATGGGCACTGCCCACCTTCGGGGCTACAGTGAGGGCCAGTGGCTCCGGCGGGGTGGCACTCACAAGGCAGGGCGCCTTTATGGTAAAAGGCCACCAGGGACCTGGCGGAATTCTTACAGAATCTGGAGGCTGTCTGGGGGCTGTGGAGACAGAAATAACTTGTGGTGATGCCCTGGAAGATGTGTATGGGAGTGGTCCCAACCTTGCCTTTACCACCTGCTCCACCCAGCAGCCTCTGTGGGAGGGGCTCATGGCTCTGGAGTTGGGGAAGAGTGGGAAACACCCCACCTCAGACTCAGCCAGGGACAGCCACCCATCTCCCGCTACGCCGGAGGAGACATCACAGAACGGGCCCATGGGAACCTTGCACAGCTGGAATAAAAGAGTGGAAATAGTCCTAAAGGATGAACTATATGGTATGTGAATTATAGCTCAATAAAGTGATTACCAAAAAAGTAGGCCTATATGTGTAATAATACAACTAATAAAATGATAATGAGGAGGAGAATCGCCAACATTCATTGAATGTTATGTGCTGGAAGCCTTGGTTACATCCCACATGACCTCACAATCAATTGGGCCTAAGCCCCAATTCACAGATAAGGCAACTGAGGTTCGTAGAATTCAGGCAACATTCCCAACGCTGCAGGGTTACGGAGTGGCTAAGCAGCATTCACAGCCAGAGTTGCTTGACTTACGAGCCTTTGCTCTTAATATTCACTGTACAGGAGGCGTCTGCCTCCCAGGGCCTCTGGAGCTCCTGGGTTCTTCAGGAACCCTACTATGGGGAAAGGGTGGGTCCACAGAAGAGAATGGCAGGAGCTGATCCTCGGTGCCATCCTAGCTCTTGGCATTCAAGGATACAAGGAGAGAGGGCAGGGGGCCGTGTCTCTGGACACTCACTGCTCAGTTAGGTGGCAGAGGAGAGTGAGATTGAGATTGACATCCCTCCCGGTGGAGGGGATCCTGTGTGGCGTGTTTTAGGACTCTGTGGTGGCACACAGGAAGCAATGGAGCGGGAGAGAAACTCCTAATCAGCCCCTGAATCTCCGCTTGGAGTGTGGACCCCTGATGAGTTCATAGCTGAGGACAGTCATCTTTCCCAGGCAGCACATGGCGAAGTCCATCACAGGAGGGTCAGTGTGGAGAAAAAACATCTTCCCCTGGGACTCAATGTCACTCTCTTGGATGGTGAGGGGAAGAGGACGGATCCAAGGGCCAGCCCCTCCCTGGGCCTCCAGTGGGTCAGGAATGTGGGTGTGGGTCTACATTCCAGAACCTTCCCCCAAAGTGATACTCACTCAATGTAAAAGCTGTTTTTTCCACAATTGGTGATAAACTCGAGTGACTTGTCTATGGATTTTTTGTGAAGTATTTGGTAGTCATAGTTTTCTGTAGGCATCACTAGAACACGGATCTGAAAGAAACCCACCAGCATGTCTTAGAAATTCCAAGGATGGCACAGGCCTAAGGCTACTTATTACACAGGTTGAGCATCCCTACTTGAAAAATCCAAAATCTGAAACGCTTCAAAATCTGAAACTTTTTGAGCACTGACATGATGTTCAAAGGTCATGCTCAAAAGAAATGCTCACTGCAGCATTTTAGATTTTGGATTTTTGAATTAGGGAGACTCCATCTGTAAGTATTATGCAAATATCCCAAAATCTGAAAAAATCTGAAATCCAAAACACTTCTGGTCCCAAGCATTTCAGATAAGAGATATTCGACCTGTACGTTCTCTTCACTGACATCAGTGCTCTTTATTGTCAAGACAAAGGCCAAATGAATCGGGATTAATGAAAAAGAATCATAAGAGCAGGCCAAAGCCAGGGTCGATGGCTCAACCCACATTCCTATGTAGGGAATAACAAATCCCCAGGCAGAGCCCTTGGAACTTCTACTCAGAGAAGCAAAAGGCTGGTGTGCTGGCTGGGCCACCGGACCTTGGAGGTAAGCAGGGGCCTTCGGGATGGCCAGGGCTCCATGTGACTCATGCCTGGTGTTTCCCATGTGACTCATGGCTGTTTTGTATTTTTAAAGGCAAACAAACCAAAGTGGCAAGAACATTGCAGAAGCTAACACCACGGCTTGTCCTTAGAGCTTACATCATACCTGGTACTCTATTATGAATAATGGTAGCTTGGTTCTCTGTGCCAGTATAAATCAGAATATGCCTATAGCAAAGAATGCAGAAATTTTGGAATGCCTTTGGCAACTGCTCACCAGCTCACAGCTTACAGGGAGCCTACTACGTCCATGATATTCAATTCAATAAACATGTGCTGAGCACCATATACCAGGCGGTGTTCTAGGCATGGGGGATGCAAAATGCACACATGCAGCCCTTGTCTCCTGGGAAGATGACGTCTTCAGACAGGAGGAGGCCCAAGAAGAGATCTGGAGGGCCACACAGACAGTCCGGGCAATGCTTCCTTTAGGAACCTGTGAGGAAGCAGGGACTGGTGCAGAGGGGAGATGCCTGCTGTCTTTCTGTCCTAGTTCCCTTGACTTTAACTGTCACATTTTACTTATTTATTTACTGGGGAAGGGGATGATAGCTGTGAAATTTAAACATTTTTCTACAAATATGACTTCAACACCTTGGAAGAATTATTTCCATGAGCCAAACAGACACACAGAACGGCCAGCCAGGCAGCCGTGTGAGGAGCAAGTTGAGGGACAAGCGCAACGCACCAAAACCAAGGACTTTCCTTCTGGAACCTTCACGGTCACGGCTACTTCAGGCTCTGAGATGTCAAACTCAATCTGGCCTTCGGCTATCACTTGATCCCGGCAGCCAAGCACATGGGGGCAAAAAGAAGCACGGAAAGAGCCTGGCAGAGAGAGAGACACTTCCTGTCACGCACGGGACTGCGGGGTCGGCCCGAGGCAGGCAGCAGGTCCTGCTCACTGCGGCTCACCTGCCCGCGGCCGCCCGCCATCCACCGACACCCACGCGGGAAACGTCGGGTGCTCTGCTTGGTAGAAATGGATGACAAAGATGTATCGGCCCAGGTGTGGTACACGTCCCCTCAAGGTCACTTGATTCTAAGAGGAAAAAAGAAGAGGAAAGAAACAAAAACCCTTAAGCTGAAGAGCTATGAATAACTAGAATCATGGAGTATTCAGAGGTTAAAAAAACAAAACAACCTAAGTATTTACCAGTGAAATGACAACCCATCTTCACCCAGAAGCCTTCATGCATATGTTTCCAGTAGCTTTTATTGTACGCACAATAACTGAAAACAAACCAAACGTCTCTCGCTTGCAGAATGGATAAACAAGCTGTGGTACCACCATAAATGTTGGAGGGGGTATCATTTGGTGAATCAGGTTGGAAACCTGTTTGGCAGTATTTACCAAAGTTGAACACATAGCCCAGCAATTGCCCTTCTGGGTATATACCCAAAAGAAATGTGAAATATGTTTGCGAGAAGGCCACACTTGAATGCTCATAACTTACTATATATAATAACCATGCAATAAAGACTCTGACCCATTTTAGGGGTGAAGGGAACAGAGTCTTGCTCTGTTGCCCAGGCTGGAGTGCAGTGGCACTATCTCGGCTCACCACAACCTATGCTTCCTGGGTTTAAGCGATTCACCTGCCTCAGCCTCCCGAGTAGCTGGGACTACAGGTGTGTGCCACCATGCCCAGATAATTTTCATATTTTTAGTAGAGACGGGGTTTCACTATGTTGGCCAGGCTGATCTCAAACTCCTGACCTTGTGATCCACCTGCCTCGGCCTCCCAAAATGCTGGGATTACAGGCATGAGCCACCATGCCCAGTCTGACTCCATTTTTTTTTTTTTTAAGAGACAGGGTCTCACTCTGTCACCCAGGCTGGAGGGCAGTGGTGCAGCCATAGCTCACTGCAGCCTCAAACTCCTGGGCTCAAAAGATCCTTCCACTTCAGCCTCCTAAGTAGCTAGGACTACAAGTAAGTGCCATCATGCCTGGGTAATTTTCAAATTTTTGTAGAGACAGGGTCTTCCTATGTTGTCCAGGCAGGTCTTGAACACATGGTCTCAAGCAATACCCCCACCTTGGCCTCCCAAAGTGCTGGGATCACAAGTGTGAGCCACCGTGCCCAGCTCTGACTCCATTTTAGATGTTTGCCCAGCTTTCAAGACGTATTACATCCTTGTGCCTTTTGCCCCATACCCAACAAGCTGATAACACAGGGCAGGGGCTCCTGGCTCCCAGCTCCCACCTTTGTCATGAGTAGGGAGTTCTAATCACACAAATTCCAGCCCCTGGGAGAAGGAATCCTACCTGGGGGCCCTGGCCCTACCACAATAAAAGCTAGAGCCCACGCTCCTTTTGCTCAAGCTCGAGTACAAGCCCTACTCTCCCCAGAAAGCCTCACTTTGTGAGTAATGAACCTTTTAACCCACAAAAATCTACAACAGCAACAACACAAGAACAACTAAAGCTTATCCTCATTTTTCAGATGAGACCCATGACTCAGGGAGGGTAAATAGTTCACGGAAAACCATACACGAATTTCATGACAAAACCAGGACTAGAACTCTGTCATCTTGATTTTGACTCATTTCCCCCTGCTATTCTAGGCCACATGGGATCTTATCTGATTCTACCACTCAGATGCTGTAAATTCCCAAACTCAAAGCACTGTCAACAGATGCAAACCATCTTTGAGATTATAAGGACATAATACAGGTTGAACATCCCTAATTTGAAAATCCAAAATGCTCTAAAATCTGAAATTTTTTAATTTTTTTTTAAATTTTTTTTCCCATTTATTTATTTTATTGCATTTTAGGTTTTGGGGTACATGTGAAGAACATGCAAGATTGTTGCATAGGTACACACGTGGCTGTGTGATTTGCTGCCTTCCTCCCCATCACCTACATCTGACATCTCTCCCCTTGCTATCTCTCCCCAGCTCCCCACCCCCTACCATCCCTCTCTTATTTCCCCCCAACTGACCCCAGTGTGTAGTGCTCCCCTCCCTGTGTCCATGTGTTCTCAATGTTCAACACCTGCCTACGAGTGAGAACATGCCTTATTTGATCTTCTGCTCTTCTGTCAGTTTGCTGAGAATGATGGTTTCCAGGTTCATCCATGTCCCTACAAAGGACACAAACTCATCGTTTCTGATGGCTGCATAATATTCCATGGTGTATATGTGCCACACTTTCCCTATCCAGTCTATCGTCAATGGGCATTTGGGTTGGTTCCAGGTCTTTGCTATTGTAAACAGTGCTGCAATGAACATTCGTGTGCATGTGACCTTATAGTAGAACGATTTGTAATCCTTTGGATATATACCCAGTAATGGGATTGCTGGGTCAAATGGAATTTCTATTTCTAGGTCCTTGAGGAATCGCCACACTGTCTTCCACAATGGTTGAACTAATTTACACTCCCACCAACAGTGCAAAACTGTTCCTATTTCTCCATATCCTCTCCAGCATCTGTTGTCTCCTGATTTTTTAATGATCGCCATTCTAACTGGCGTGAGATGGTATCTCAATGTAGTTTTGATTTGCATTTCTCTGATGACCAGTGATGATGAGCATTTTTTCATATGTTTGTTGGCCTCATGTATGTCTTCTTTTGTAAAGTGTCTGTTCATATCCTTTGCCCACTTTTGAATGGGCTTGTTAGTTTTTTTCTTGTAAATCTGTTTTAGTTCTTTGTAAATTCTGGATATCAGCCCTTTGTCAGATGGGTAAACTGCAAAAATTTTTTCCCATTCTGTTGGTTGCCGATTCACTCTAATGATTGTTTCTTTTGCTGTGCAGAAGCTGTGGAGTTTGATTAGGTCCCATTTGTCTATTTTGGTTTTTGTTGTCAATGCTTTTGGTGTTTTGGTCATGAAGTCCTTGCCTACACCTATGTCCTGAATGGTTTTGTGTAGATTTTCTTCTAGGGTTAAAATCTGAAATTTTTTGAGCACGGATACAATCAATGTTCAAAGGAAATTATCCTTGGAACATTTTGGATTTCAGATTTTCAGATTATGGATGCTCAATTTGTAAATATAATGCAAAAATTCCAAAATCTGAAATTCAAAACATTTCTGATCACAAGCAGTTTAGATAAGGGATACTAAACCTTGTAATATCAGAATATAAAGTATATTTTTATAATGCAGAATTTTTAAAGTCCTGTGATTTTTTTTTAGCTTACAAAATATATTACCTTATTATATTTCACCTTTGTGCTCTAGATGATTGATTAATAAATGTTTATTGAGAATTTCCTACCTGCAAGATACTGTGCTGGTGCAGTAGGGGATATGGAAAAGTTTACTGGTTCGAGACCAGCCTGGGCAACATAGCAAGACCTCATCTCTACAGAAATAAAAAAGAAAAAAATTAGGTGGGCAAGGTGGTACTCTCCCCTAGTCCCAGCTATTTGGGAGGCTGAGATGGGAGGATTGCCTGAGTCCAAGAGTTGGAGGCTACAGTGAGCTATGATTATGCCACTACACTCTAGTTTGAGTGATAGAGCAAGAATCAGTCTCAAAATAAATAAATAAATAAAGGTTCTTGGCTATAACAACTATTCTAAAAGTCTTATGATCCAACTTGGAAAGATAACGAATAAACAACAATATTAAACAGCAGCAGTCCACAAAAATATAAGATATTACAATATGGGCCATGAATAATTGCCAAATGTCTAGTGGACAGAACTCAGGAGGGAAAGGGCATCAGGCAGGGGTAGTCCTAGGCAGGATTAACCAGATGCCTACATTTCTGGGACTCTTCACAGAAGAGAGTAGAGATTCTCAAACTTCAGGGGCATCAGAATCACCTGGAGGGTTTGTTAAAACATAGATTCCTGGGCCCACCCCCAGGGCTTCCACCTGGGCAGGTCTATAGTGGGTCTGTGAATCTGCATTTCTGACAAGTTCCCAAGTGATGTGAATACTGCTGCTTCAGAGGCCATACTTTGAGAACCACTGGTTTAGAAACAGCACATTACCTGCAGTGCCTTCAAGGTGAGCCCAGGAACATCAAGAGAAGGTAAAGATTGCTGGGGCAGGCGAGGGAAAGGCCTGCCACTCAGAACATCCAAAATCAATGCTGTTGGAGGAGTTTCATGGGCCAGAGAGACACAGGTGGCACTGAAAAATAGAATATTTTTAAATCTTATTCTTAAAAGAACCCAAAACTACAGAACTGTCCATCAGTGAAGAGACAGACTTGGAGCATAGGACCACATGGGCATCAAAAGTATCCAGTGCTGAGGAAACCACAGAACTCTAGGGATCGTTACACGATACTTGTGCCAAGTGTATTCCAGCCACCTGTTCAATTGAACTAGTTGAAACAGAGAGAATCTTAAATTTGAAGTAAGGTAAATTAGACAGAAACTTGTAGAAACTTCTCTTTCCAGAACTAAAATTATTAAAATGAGATCAACTCTCTTTGTCACTACACTCCATTTCTACTACCTTAATCCAAGCCAGTCTCTCTACTACCAAATCTCTTACCTAGGCAAATGAATGCAGCTGCCTGCTGAGAAGCCTCCCCGTCCACGCTGTCTCCTTATAGTCCACCCTTCACAGGCAGCTAGGGATCTTTTAAACCCATCAGAAAGATGCTGTTACTTTCCTGCTTACGTATCTCCCATGACTTTCTAACACACCTAAAATAAAATCCAGTTTCCTTACCATGGCCTAAAGTTCTATATAGCTGCTCCTCTACTTTACCTTCTCTCCCACTGGATCGCTACCTACAAACCAAACGTGTATTCTTGCTCTTGGGCCATTTGTTTGTTTTCTGTACTCTGTAGCAAATGAATAAAAACTTAACAACTTTCAGAAACAAACAAAAAAAATGAGATCAACTCAATAAAACATTATTCACCTCTAGACAAAAATATTGACAGAACACTATATAAAAGAGAAAATATATACATCGTCTCTTTCATGCACAGCCAGAATTGCATTGTGTTGGTGGCTCCTACAGTCCTAACCATGTACACCAGATTTCATGACCATGCCTATAAGTTGTTTTTGAATCTACAGCAAAACAGCCCTACCAAAACTCTAATAAGATGGGAATTAGTTAGCTGATTCTCATCACATAGTTATGAGATAGGTCATTACTTTCATGGTTTTCCAAATGAAAAGTCTCAGACAGAGGGATTAAAAGATGTGAACAAAATGATTCTTTTCAAGGGCTCAGAATAGAACTCAGGGTTCCTGCCCTCCAGGGGTAGGCTTAACCATTTCCCTGGTTGTTCCTGTGTCAGCTTTCTGATATTATGGAATTCTGGAAAGAATGCTGGGGTAAATTATTTAACTGGTTTTTCTTTCTTTCTGTTTTAAATCCACCACCAGACTTTATCACCTTGGCTTGTGATCATTTCTGATGTTGAGTATAAATTTTTGGCCTTATACTCATCCCAGTATCACTCAGAGCATGAACAGGGAGACAGGAAGGAAATATATTACCTTTGATTGACAAATCGCCCGTAACTGGCAATGCAGTGGACTTGCGGTCTCACATACTCGGCTGAGAATTCTTCAATGGGTATGATACAAACTTGATGCTATTGAGCAAATACAATGCACAAAGGCACATTGCCGTTACCAGCAAAACCAGTGGTATGGCCAAACATGCTGTTTTTCTTTTTTTCTACTTTTTTTTGAGACGGAGTCTCACTCTGTCGCCAGGCTGGAGTGCAGTGGTGCGATCTTGGCTCACTGCAACCTCTGCCTCCTGGATTCAAGCGATTCTTCTGCCTCAGCCTCCCAAGTAGCTGGGACTACAGGCATGTGCCACCATGCCCAGCTAATTTTTGTATTTTTTGTAGAAACGGGGTATCACCATGTTGAACAGGATGGTCTCAATCTCTTGACCTTGTGATTCGCCTGCCTCGGCCTCCCAAAGTGCATACTTTTTAAAAAAAGCTATTAAGTAAAGGATTTATCCATAGTAATTCTAATCATTATTTTAAAGTAGTAAATACTGCGGATGGCATGTCCTCAGGCATCAGTATGTGCAACAAATCCTTTTTACCATTTTACAGGATTACTGACTGAATTACTGCTGAAATACTTACATAAATAGAACTGAGAACAAAGCCATAAGAAAGCTCAGAAACTACTCTTTCAGTGCCTGTTTTTTCTCTCCTGCCCTGCGGCAATCCTGGCTCTTTAGGCGGGTTGGGACGAAGCGAGGGGATGCAGCTGTGGCCAGAGAGCCTGCCTTTCAAAGTGAGGGCTGCCACTGCTAGAAATTACCTTTCTTAATGAAGGATGACTCCTATTTCAGGCACATTTGGCCTTTGTTGAAGCAACAGTCTCCAGAGCTAGTTTTTGAGTCACACAAGAAACTTAGTCATTAATTGATCAATACATTTCATTTTAAATAAAAACTGTATTACCAGCTTGACTGCAAAGTTATTCAGCAGCAACAACAAACATTTTTGTTGAATACCACAGAAACTAGGGGGTCTTGCAAGTCCAAGATGGACAACACCCCTGCCTTCATGAGGCTTATGTTCTAGCCAGCCTTGACTCTGAATGGCACTTGACTTCTTCAGAAAGGGAAAACTTATTCTTAAATGAAGATTCAGCTCCATTGTAATTTCAAAAGATGAAGAGGTTAGATTCCCTTGGATTGTTATGCTTTAAGAAGGAGCCATAATTTTATAATTATAATTTTTTAAAAACTGAATTCCAGCTTCTTCTTAAGAGCAAGCTCAAAGTTTTTAATACTATCAGGCACAAATATTTAAAACACATTAGTACAGGCTGGCCTGGCATTTCCCAGAATGTGATGCATGTGTAGTATCAGCAGTTACAGGAAGTTGCTTCACGCTTAATCTTAAATTCCCTGAGATATTCATTGTAAATCTGGCCCCTTCCTTTCTAGCCAAATCCCACTGCCTCTGTTATCATAATCCTCAATGTTCAAGTCATGCCATTACAAGGGTGGGCATGAAGATTATTTAATCTGCCACACTTGATATTTTAACTCTTATAATATACATATCTGATTAACTGAATGATATTCTTTCTGAAACCGTTTTTTAAACTAGGTAATTGTAAGTTTTAAGTTTTGATAAAATTTACCAAGAAGCTAATAGAGATAATAAAATGACAATAAAATAGTAAGATAGAAAAGAAAATAAACAATAGCCAATGGCATCTCTAAACTCTGGCAAGAATGATAAACTAGGAAATATAATAACAGAAGATGTTTTCTTTATAATAGCAGAAATGAATAAAAATTAATGTAATAGGATTTTGTGAGAGGTGCTTAAATATGATGATTAAATTTTATTAGGCCATATCAAAAAGGCTCAAACAAATGAAGAGGCAAGTCAGGTTCTAGATGGGAAGAGTAAACATTAAAGTGGCAATTCTTTCAGGTTACAGGAGTAATGCAACTCCAGCCAAAATGTTACTAAGCTTTACAAAAATAAAGATATCAGCAAAATGCTTCCAAAATTCAATGGGCAAAACAGAAGCATACCAGAAGGAATCGGGCCATGTGCACTTTGAGCTGAATGTCTGCATCTGCCAATAGCTCATACACGGCGATGCGGCTCATGTGATCGATCACAGCACTCCGGCAGAGGACGCTGCAAGAGAAAACAGTTTTCTGAGCCTGATTCCCGGCATTACCCTCATTCTGCACATCCTTATGGGGTGGCTGATTGCTCTTTGGTTTCATCTATTTATTACGTAATGAACTATAGTGAATTTTCCTGCATGATGAGTTGAAGAGGGATGCAGCTCACAATCTCTATGGGGAAAAGAACCTTCTACCTTCCCGTTGTGGCCAGTATTGTACCTCTCAGGGCTAAGGGTCCCACGTGCTTTTTCTACTTGGTTTGATGAAGTACTAGGTTTAGTTCTCGAGAGAAAGGGCCCCCGGGTAAGCAACTGCAGATCTCTAAGACACAGCCAACATTCTTGGGACTATTCACGATTGAAGTCACCGACCAGCCTATCAGCCACCATCCCACACCAAGGCAGTGAGCATGCTGGCCTTCCTCCAGCATGGAAAGACCCCGAGTTTGCTTCCAAAACCCCATCTGGACCTCCTTCTTCCTTCTTCATTTCTACCTGTAGTATCTCTTCCCTCCAACACATCAAGTGAGATACAGAGTTCAGGGACATTTAAAAGCTCACAGTTTTGAATCAAATAACTCTAATGGTAAAACCCTTAGAGGAGGTACTTTTGGAGTAATGTTTCTGACTTCATACTTGGCTGTAAATTTTCTGTCTGTAAATATAATTTGAAACCGGTGTTACATTAAAACCAAAGGACTACTTCTGAGAAACAGCTGAAATAATTTAGGCAATTTTTTTTTTTGGTGAGAATTAAAATAAGTTATACAAAAAGCCAAGCCCAGTTTGTGGTATATATTAGAAACTTAATAAACCGTTGCTTTCTGTTTCCCAATGTTAGTGTGTGTGTGTGTGTGTGTGTGTGTGTGTGTGTGTGTCCACTAAAACACATTCTTTTGGATTTAGTCATAATCCTAGGGTTAAATATATTAAGTGACTCACTTAGTTTTATCCTTATTCTATATTAAATTCCTCCTAAGAAATAGTCTAAGTAATAACCAGATTAATCACTAACGATCATCTCTCTTATGGAGAGCAGATTAGATTTATCACAGGACTACTTTGAAAAGTGGTATTTCTATTAGCACCACTGCTATTCTGCTGGGATATTGTTTTTGTTGTTGTTTTTAACATTGTTAGAGCTCACTTGAGAAATGCTGGGAAAAGTTCAAGCCTCAGCAGGAGATGCTGCAATGCTGAGGGGGCCTTTCATAGGTTTTTATGGGTCAAATATTTTCCAATTGCACCATATTTTTTGGACTCCCATCCTTGTAGCCTGTTCATTTTCACTTATCCACATGACAGACAACGAAGCGAAACGGCAAATATTTTAGCCATATGACAAAATACAACAGGACTTTCCGTGGAGTGGTTAAACACAATGAAAGTGGTTCCTAGTCTGAAACCATGCCGTTCCACGTTTCTAAGGATAAAAACTCCTACAGCAGGACTTTGGTGTCATCATGTTCAGAGCCAGAGTGATCTGCAGACTGACATGCAGTTCACTCTCAATAATTCCATTCAGACTTAGGTCGTGAAACAACCACAATGGTGTCCAGAAAGGGTTCCTTTCTTTCTTTGCTTTTTAAACCACTCCTCTCCTCTCCTCGGCACACATATTCCCAGAGCTCTTCTAAGAGGATTCAGAATCACCAGGGTTATTAGGAATATTTCTTCCTGCCCCCTTAGCCATCTCTACTTTGTATCCTGATCAACAATAGTCAAGCCATGGGATCTGGAGGTAGAAGGAGCAGAGAGCTGAACAAGTGGGTGGGCATGGACACATGAGCATGGAGAAACCCTGCCCCAGGCCCTGTGGCTAACAGTCTCCAGGCCTCAGGTGAGCTGGCAACCCACCCATTTGGGAGTGGACATTCCAGTGGTTGCTGATTTTATCTATAGATGCAGCTCATGCCTTCAGATAATGACAGAACATCCCCAGGGAACTCTTTAGGCCCACTTTGTGCTCCTGTTAAAAAGCCAAATACAATTACCTTGTTTGGTTCTATCATCACCCAAAGACAAAGGCCACAGCTGCTTGTTTACGGTTGCTGAGGGCATCATGTTGATTCAATAGCCATTTGATCAATTCTCATAAAAGTTTCCATTCTAAGCTACTAAAAGTAGCTCTTTGGATAAGTTTTTGTTTGTTTCCATTTTCACAACAGGGAAAATGTCCATTGCTTCAGGTCATCTTGGGTTTGACAAAAAGCAACATGAAAGTAGTGGTAACACAATGTTCAAGGCCTTGGCCAAGAACTGGATGGGTTTACCGCAGCACTCCATCTGCTGCTTCAAGGGACTCTGACTTCCAGTGCTGTTTATTATACAATTAGTTTCATGTGGAAACACCCTTATGCTGATTCTTTAATTAAAGCATGCTCTGAACATTTGCATGCGTCTTGAAATATTATGCAAACAAAACCATTTTTAATAAACCCTTGTCAGTCAGTGCGCTTGGAAGAGAAGAACTTCATCAGGGCAAATTTTGAAGTCCTTCGTCAATTTTTTTTCCACGTGACAATCATCAAGTATTAATTATCCCCAGTCCTGAAGGTATGCTGCAAAGGTAGGTGTGCACCCCGTAACATTACTGAGAAGGAGTCTTCTTCCCTATGCTATGCACTCAGGTACTTGACACAGCCTTTGAGCTGAGAGTAGCAAGTTCATTGCACCATACCTGAGTGATAGAGAATCAAATAAAGAGGTTGTGTTGTGTCATGTGGATCTGAGCCAAATTGCTAAGTACATCATATAGCTTTTTAAGAAAATGCCACATTTTCACATATACACCATGGAATATTATGTAGCCATCAAAAACGATGAGTTCGTGTCCTTTGTAGGGACATGGATGAATCTGGAAACCATCGTTCTCAGCAAACTGACGCAAGAACAGAAAATCAAACACCTCATGTTCTCACTCACAGGCAGGTGTTGAACAATGAGAACACATGGACACAGGGAGGGGACCACTACACACTGGGGTCTGTTGGGGGGAAATAGGGGAGGAATAGTGTGGGGTGGGGAGTTGGGGAGAGATAGCATGGGGAGAAATGCCAGATATAGATGAAGGGGAGGAAGGCAGCAGATCACACTGCCACGTGTGTACCTATGCAACAATCTTGCATGTTCTTCACATGTACCCCAAAACCTAAAATGCAATTAAAAAAAGAAAAAAAGAAAATGCCACATTTTTATGCTGCCAATAGAGAGGACTCCCAATACTCACATTGGTGATGACGTTGGACCACACAGCTAGCCACTTGCTTGCTAGAGCTGCCTCAAAAAGAAAACAACTTCCCAATGCAAATAACAGCCAACGTTCCCAAGGCAGATTTCCTCATTGCTCCTTTACAGAGGAATTCCCATGGTGGGACTGAGTACCTGTATTTGCAGCTGTAAATGTTCACCTGGCCTGCCAGAACAGACCCGGGGCTCTTCACATTCACATCAGCCACAAACAGCTGGGTTGCCTCCATGGAATACTCGACCACAACCACGTAGCGGCCAACCTGTGGGACATGCAGCCGCAGATGCAATTCCACCTGTCAGAGAGGCCAAGCAGACAGACTGTGATCCAGCTGTGACATGTACTGGCCACACTTGCATCAGCACTGTGAAAATAGAGCCCAGAAGACACCCTGGAAGTATTTTTATATGTCATCCAAGTAAGAAATAACATCCTACAGGTTGAGATGCCAGATAAAACACACGGTGCCCTGTTACATTTTAAATGGAAATAAATAACAAATAATTATTTGTTGTTTATTTGGACAACTTAATGGGGCATCTTGTATTTTTATTTTCTAAATCTGGCAGCCCTACTTAGAGAGGTTTCTACTCTTTCTACCCAGAAATGATTTTGCTGCTTGTTTCCCAAGGTAAAAGACATTCTAAAACTTCAAGTAAAAACGAAGTACTGATGAGTATTAAGGGAAGTAATGTAAAAGTGACACACACACCTGCTCCTGGGATAAGGACTGTTAATAGTTTTCATATTTCCAAACCTTTTTCTTTCTTCTTTTTTTCTGGAGATGGAGTCTCGCTCTGTCACCCAGGCTGGAATGCAATGGCACGGTCTCGGCTCACTGCAACCTCTACCTCCCGGTTTCAAGTGATTCTCCTACTTCAGTCTCCCAAGTAGCTGGGATTACAGGTGCCTGCCACCACACTCAGCTATTTTTTGTATTTTTAGTAGACATGGGGTTTCACCATGTTGGCCAGGTTTGTCTTGAACTGCTAACCTAGTGATCTGCCCGCCTTGACCTCCCAAAGTGTGGTATTACAGGTGTGAGCCACTGCACCCAGCCTCCAGACCATTTTCTATGCCCCAATATGCACACACATGTTTTGTTTTGTTAAAAAAACCTGTGATCATAGTAGGCAATTAAGGATGCTTTTGTGCTACGATGACAGAGACCACAGGGCCTGCAAAATGAAAAATACTTACTATGTCCCTTTACAGAAAAAGTGTGCCCTCCCCTGATATCACCTACTGGTTAGGAGCTTGGGGTCTGGAATCAGACAGCCTCCAGCTGTGTGAGCTTGTGCAAGTTGCTTAGTATCTGTATGCTTCAGCATTCTCCTTAGTAAAATGCAGATAACAATAGCACTCCCCCTCAAGATTGTTCTGAGGATTAAGTGAATACATATAGAGCTCTCAGAAGTGTATTTGACATACAATAAGCACTATGTATATATTATGATTACAATTGTGATTATTGCTTTTTACCATGACTTGCTTTTTTTACTCAATGGTATTTCTGTGTCTATTGCAAAAATATATACATGCAAATATACTTACATGCAAATATATTTCATTTTTTGAATAGCTGTCTACCATTCTCTAGTATGAATATAAAACGATTTAATCCCATATTGAGGGGCACAGGTTGTATTTAATTTTCCCTAAAACCTATAATGCTATATGATCATCACACATATATCCTAATGCTACTATTTCTGTAAGATTCCTAGAAGTGGAATCGCTGGGTCAAAGTGTGTTTGCATATTTAATGTCTGAACCAATATTACAACTGTATTCCTCAGCAGTGTAACCCACCTCCGCCCACAAGCTCAGGCCCAGGCAAGCTTTACCACACTTAATTAAAATGGTCCTCCCCCTCCCTGCCTTAGGAAATTCACATTTGGTATTCCTGCTGAACGGCTCTGAACCGCATAACTGCTATTTTCCACAGTGATTTTTTTTTTCTGTCACTTAAATAATAGAAACACTTCCCCTCGGGAAGGAATGTGGCTCGTCCACACCAGTTTTGACTCTATGTTATAGAGGGAGATAAGGCTCTGCAGCTGCACCACGTGGAGCGGTTATTGCCAGCATTTCACCCCTGGGCATCTCCAAACAAGAACTTGACTGTCACGACCCCACCACAAAGCACTCACAGGTCGATGAGGTGTCAGGTTTTCTCCCAGAAGTTATTATTGGCTGCAAGTTCTATCTTGTACTCTATTATAAATTTCTCCTACTCTTTCCACTCTAAATTTTATGGATTACTTTTTGGAAGACTTATTTGAGGAGTTTAAGGTACATTTGATGGGAAACGTCAGGTTTGAGAAACTCAGATAAAAGATATAAAAGATGGCAAACAGAAACTTTACTGTTTGCTGTTGTGATTATTTATGTGTATCGTTTATCTTTACAAAAGGAACTTAAATGGAATCAGTGTCAAACTGGAGGAATATTTCTGGTTCTGTGGCACAGAACTGACCTCTACTAGTTATTAGTGTTTCAGGATAATGATGTAGACGGTGGGTTTATCAAATCTGCTGCCCACACAAAACTAAAAGGGGTAAGTAACATGTCTCATGACAAAATGAGGATTCAAATGATTTGATCAGCAAACTACTACTGAATACCTACGCTATGCCCGTCCACCAGCCAGGTGATAGGCATACAATTGGAGGCAAGGCAGTCATTCCCTCAGACAGACTTGCATCAAGTAATTAGATAACTAGACAAATACAGCATAAAACTACATGTGACAAATGCTCTGCAGAGGTATAAGACAGGGGACTGAGCTAGTTGAGGAGATAAGGGAGAAGGGAAGGCTTCCTTGAAGAAGCAGCAACTTAGGTGAGCGTGGAGGACAAGGAGAAGACAATCAGGCCGTAGGGAAAGAAGAGTGTTTCGGTAGAGGGAACGGCTTACAGTTGGAGGCTACATACAACAGAGGACGCTATAGGGTCCCATATAATGCAAGCCCAAGAGACTGAAGGTAGGTCAGAGGAACAGGGAAACAGAGCAGGCGGGGGTATAACAAAATTGGGAGGTAGAAAGGGCAGACATATAAGCCATATTAAAATCTTTGTCTCTATCCTAAGAGCAACAAGCGTTGATCAAATATTCCCATCAGAATGTGAGTGCTGGCTACAGCCTGGAGAACAGGTCGAGAGGTGCAATGGGCAGAGCAGGTGTGGGTGGGCTAATTAGGAGGCTTCTACAGAGATTCTCACAAAAATGATTGGATGTTGGACAAGAGAGAAAGAAGGAGAATGCCAAGAAAAGTTTGGGATGCATACTCATGGATGGATCGGTTTGGGTGGAGGAAAGAATGGGAGAAGTCCTAAATGACCATAAGAATGCAAGTAGATGGATGGTAATGGCATTAACTTAGGTAGGGAATACTGAAACGGAATTTGAGATTGCTTTGAAACATCGAAGAGGCGATGTTAGGAAGGAAGGCAGACTTGCTGGTCTGCATATGAAAGCAGAGGTATGACGAGGCATACCAACATGGGAGGTATCTGTGTGGAGGTGGGTCTGATACAATTGCCATAGATGAGACTCCTTGAGACAGAACATAGAGCAATAAGGCCTAGGACTGAGCCTTGACAAATTCTAACACTTAATGGCTAGACAGAAGAGGATAAGCCTGCAAATGATATTTTGAGGAAGTGATGAGAGAGGTAGAAAGAAAACCAGGTTGTTGATAATTTTTAAATTATTAAGACAGCTCTGAAATTATGAAAAACAAGAGAGAGCTTGGGAATGCAGGGAGTGTCCATCAGGCATGGAAAGCTGTCGAGATGTTAAACAGATGAGGACTGAACCATATCCATCAGATTTAGTGACAAAAATCTCACTGGAAACCTGGCAAACAAAATTTAATGGAGTGGGAGGTGAAAGCCAGACTGTAGTGGGTTGAGATGCGAGTGGGGCATAAAGAATTAGAAACAGAGAGTGTAGACAATCCTTTGGAGGAGTTCTGTTTTGAAGGGGAGGAGTATGGTGCAATGGCGGAGTTGCGGGAGAGAGGAGGAGGATTTTAATAGAAATAGGTTAGCATTTTTTAAAGATGGGTTACTTCTGGTTCAGATGGCACAGAGAATTCACATTTGCTATACCCCTTCTGCTCCAAGAGACAGCAACTCTGGATAAAACACTTCGAAAGAAAAACAAAAAGATATACTTGGAATCAAAAGTAAATACATGATAAAACGTAAATTAAAGAAAACCCCAAATGGAACTGAAGTCACAAGCCTGTTGTCCTCCAGGTCTGGAAGCAGGTTATCTTGGTCAGCAGTTCAGCTCAGGCAGAGTAAACAGAACAACAAAACATGACGGTGGCAAGAGACGGTGGCCAGATCCGGGCACATTTTTTGAAGATAAAGATGTTCAAATTAAAAGAGAAGCTTAAAAATTGCTTCCAATCTGCCTCCTGAGTTATGGATATGAGAAGCTGCATGTTCTCACTTATAAATGGGAGCTAAATGATGGGTACTTACGGACTTGCAGGGTTCAGTAACAGACACTGGAGACTATGAAAGGTGGGAGGATGAGAGGGGGGTGAATGTTGAAGAACTACTAGGTACAATGTTCACGTTGGGTGATGGGTACACTAGAAACCCAGGCTTCACCACTATGTTATATATGCATGTAAGAAACCTGTACTTCTCCAGGCGCGGTGGCTCACCCCTGTTATCCCAGCATTTTGGGAGGCAGAGGCAGGCGGATCACCTGAGGTTGGGAGTTTGAGATCAGCCTAACCAACAGGGAGAAACCCTGTCTTTACTAAAAAATACAAAATTAGCTAGGCATGGTGGTACGTGCCTGTAATTCCAGCTACTCAGAAGGCTGAGGTAAGAGAATCACTTGAACCCAGGAGGTGGAGGTTGCGGTGAGATGAGATTGCACCACTACACTCCAGCCTGGGCAACAAGAGCGAGACTTTGTCTCAACAACAACAGAAAAAAAAAAAAGAAAAAAGAAAGAAAGAAAAGCCTACACTTACACCCCTAAACATATAAAAATAAATAAATTTTTAAAAGAAGCTATAGAATTTGGGAACCAAAACTCAAATATGTGGCTTCATGACCAAGAACTGAGCTAAGCCATTCATGGGGTCAGTGTCTGAATCTGTGCTATCTTCAATGTCACAACAATAGAGAAGGCACACTGTAATGCCTGCTCCTGGGCTAAGGATCCAGTGGACAGGTAAGACGGTGCAAAACTACCAGGCTGAAACAGATGTGACAGAAGAAGAGGATAAAAACCTTTCATTCAAAATAAGCCAATAAGCCTGTACACAAAATTTCAAAACACATAAAGAAATAGAATATTAAGAAAGACAGGTAACAAAGTCATCAATCAGAAGATGAGTTCACTTCAGATGAGATGAATTTTATGGGATAACCTGACAAAGACTTTAAATATACTGGTCCATGATCTGACATCTCCGAACTCTGAAAAGAAAATAGGTTTTGTAACTGTTTTGGTGGCAAACCTAATCTAACCAACGATCATTTGCTGGGAAAGTCTGACCTAAACTGATATAAGTCTATGTATATAGTCAGTATGTGTCTCACTAGGTGAGCCTATTCATGCTTTTCACTGAAGAAATATTAACCTGTTTGATTATGGGATATTATCTTAGACCTCACTGGAGATGCTAACTTTTCTCAAATCTTAAAAATTCTGTATTCTGAAATCACCTGGCTCCAAGGCCTTTAGTATACTAAAAAGATAAATGAAGGAGTAACTTTCACTTCAAAGTACAGGAAGTTTTGAAACAAAAACTGGCAGAAAGACAAGAAAAAGTAAATATGATAAACAGCCAATAGGAAAGTTTTAAAAGTACAAATTAAATTGAATCAATAAGCTGGATAACTTCTAAATTAGAGATAGTGAAATAAAATATTTCTGTATTGTAAAAGAGTCTTGAGGTCCTGCTGACTAGCTCTGTGCTGTAGCTCTGAGCTAAACCAGAGGTTAGAGCCTCCTTGATGAATCACCAGCATCACTTCCTGGGGGTTAGCCCTTTTCAATCTTACATCCTGTTGTCTAAGGAACACACACACACACATACACACACACACACACACACATATCTGTGTATATATATGTGTGTGTGTATGTGCATTTTTATGTATATATGTATGTATAAACCCATACCTATATACATACATGTGTGTATACACACATAGCATGGGTAGGGAGGGATACATCGAACTTAGTATTAGAATGGAGTAGAGGAAAGATCATTTAGGTTTTTTATGCATATCTATGTTGTTTTACTTGTTACAACAGGGATATATTATTTTGTAGAATGAAAATTCTAATAAAATGAATATTTTATTAACTGCTACCTTCGAAATGATAGAAATGTAGTTTACAAATATGTACACATCTAAATGTTCAGTTATAATTAATTCCACATATATTTTCATCCCACAAATGTAATCCCCCAAATGAATATTTTCCTCAAAAGGATAAAACAGAGATGTTATAGAAAGCAAAGAACAAAAATATAGTCAAGGAAGTTTTTTTCAGTGTCTTCATTTTGAAGTGTTGTGTGTTCTTATTGTTATGGTTGATAACCTATAGCTCTAACTCAAATATTAAATCAGTATGATCTTAAATTTGGTTCTGAAGTTTGAAGAACTCCTGGAAGAAAAGTAATACCAAGACCTGTAGTAACCTGTCCTCCACGCCATGCGGTAGGTGCCCTGGGGTGTAGAAGTTCCGGATTCTGAGCTTAAGGAATTCAGCTGTTAGGTTGAAGAGTGAGTGAGTGTGGTATCCTTTTAGGGTAAGCTGTGTCATTTCTGCAGGCTTACTGGATTGAGTCTCATCTGTCTTTTAAGAGAAATCTTGCCCTGAATCAGGGAGAACAGGAAGCCCCCTTCTAAATCCAGATAATCGAAAAGAAAGGTTTCTATGGCTACCCACATCTCCCACCATGTCTAGAAAGTGCTCAAAGAACAGCCTGAACATGGCTCCATGTAGTGTACCATCCAGCCCCACTCCAAATCAGATAATTCAGCATATGTTGATAAACACCTCTGAGAAATTCTTCCAGCTTCCCCCAAGTTTGAGAAGCAACTGTGGCCAAGTGTTTTCAGCAGACACAGGTGGGAAGGTAGTAATAACTTTGATAATAAATAAAAGGCTCCCCCACCTCTCTTCCACTGAGTTCCACCATGATGGGGTGTGCAGGTGTGGGCTGCCTCACTGCCACGGGTCTTGGCTCCCCATCAAGCAGGAAGTGTCTGGCCTCACAAGCCAGGGTACAGGGGAACCTGGTGACTGGCAAATGCTGGTAGAGCAAGCAACTTTAACAACAACAAAACAACAAAATCAATAGTTACAAGTGAAAACATCAAACAGAATATCAAAGTACCTCCCCAAAGACTCTTAGTCATTCAGTTCACTCATTCATTCATCATCCTTCAACAAACTCTTATTAAGCATGTTACAATAATTAAGCAATAAATTTTCAACTACATGGGGAAGAGAAGAAACAAAGGTCCATAAACCTGGGTTCTATTTTAAGCTCTTCCTCTCACCGGATGCAGGACTGACCTTGAGGGCATTTACTTGGGCATGTGCCAACATTCCCACATACTCGAGGGTGGCAGCCACTCCTAACTAAGCCAGCTATGGTGTGCAAAGTGCTTTGTGACTCTTATTTGAAGGTCACAAGTAAGACACAGAGGAAGATCACAACTAATTATCCTGAGCATCGTGCTGCTGGAGTGGTCCTGAGACACCTCATGAAAGTTTGCATTAAAGGCTCCTAATTTAGAGGACCCCAATGATGCGGCTGCACCATCTGCCCCATACTGACTTTTCCTGGGGTGATCCTGAGTAGGCACATGGTTCTGTGACCGGCAGCTGCAGCACAGAGGCTTCGTAGTAGTCCCTGGGAAGGAGTACCAGGTAATCCTAGTAAATAAAGAGCAAAAGGAGAATCACTCATTTTGATGGTAGCCCTGCTTTGACTATAAAATAATCAAACATGCTAGTTAAATCAATAATAACCAGCTGAAGTCACTAAACTCTCCATATCAACCGCTTTGTTCTTCATCCTGACCCACCAAAACACAAAGAACCACTCATCGAAGATTCTTTACGTATCAGAGAGAAACTTGTCAGTGTGAACATTTTTATTCTTCAAGTTTCAGGAGAAATTTTACTCTTTCTCCTGGGTTGTTTATAAATTCACAAATTAACAAAGATTATACATTGTCAATTGATGTGATGTTCTGTGGAAATGCTGATTGCCTTCACCAGTACAGAACACTGAATGTGGATCATTTTCTACTCCCACACCCGAGTAACGCTCAAATGGCATGGTATCAAAAGTGATGCCTTGTGATGTTGGTGATTCACAGAATGGAACTGGCCTACTGCCTGTCCCAAGAAACGAGAGGAAGAACATGTTCCACTGAGTGTGCCAAACGAAGCCCACAGCATAAATTCAGCTAAGCAGCTCTTCAGGGAAGAGCAGAGCCCCAGGCTTCTGGGATGTAGATGACTGACAGTCCGCAGCCGTTCTAGCAGCAGCTCGCATCTACAGAGGGAAGACAAGAGGGAATGTTTGCTTCGACTGCGAAGAGCTCATACACACACCAGAAGGCTTTTTCTCTCCTTAGAGAGAAATCCATAGGAAGGAAAAGTAGGAGATTGTGGCTCAGGGGACTCAGTAAGCTGAAATTTTAAAATGGTTACTGTTCTACTAGTAAGTTCGCTGAGTCTGGGACCATGTCTCCTCTCTCCTCACGACTTTATACTCTAACAGGAACTACAGCAGTGATGGTTGATAATAGACACACAATAAGATAGTTTTAGAGATGATGGGATTATAATATGGAGGCATATATATGAATTACTACACAATTGCACAGACTAAATGTCATTAGGCATCTTCCATGCCCAAATAGTAACTTGTATAATGAACTTCTACTTTCCATGAGTCCAACTTTGTAGCCATTACTGATATCAATGGAACTTTCCTCTGCCTCATTCCTACCATCTGTGAAATATTCTTGAACTTTTTTTTTAAAAGCAATAAAGCTTCCTACTAAGAAGATACAAGGAGAACAGAGATCTCCTGATCTTCCTTTGCTGTCTTGAATGGATAACGCAAACCTTCATGTTATCCCTGTAAGATCCCAGATTTGGAAGGAACTATTAAGAGCAGTATTTTCCCTGCTGTGTGGAAGAAGCAACTGGTAGGATTGGAAGAGGCAGGATTTGAATTAAGGGACTTGCCTAACATTTGCTAACATGGTCAATAAACAGGGTCGTGCCAGAAGGAAAAGCTTTATGTTTTCTACTCTGGGAACATGGACCAAGCTTTCCCCTAGGACTTTATTTCGAAAAGACCTCGCTATGAAGCAAAGCAAACCTTAAAGCACATAGCAAAAAGGGCTGTCTGAAACAGCAGGTTTCACCCTTCCAACACCCCATGGCTCCTCTGGCTATTCTATTAGGTGTTCGTAGACATAGCCTTTCCCGAATAAGGAGTTCTCTGTTGCAGGCAATCTGTTTGCTGAGAATACACCTGCTTTAGGTTTAACGCAGAAGAAAGCGGAGAGAGTGTCAGGGAGAAGCAGTGGCTCCTGTAGCCTCTTGCTTCTCTTTCCACCCTCAGGAACTTTACTGAAATTCCTATCTTCTTGTCTTCTAGGTTCTTCTTACTTGGTTCTACACAATCTCCAGGCAGGCTTATTTTTTTAGATATACTTCTGACTCATGCTGGAAAATCCCAAACAAGCTTTGGAAGGGTGAAGCCACATGCTCATGATGGCTTTGAATTTGTTCTGATAACTTAAGAGTCTTCATGAGACTACATATATATATATATATATATATATTTGTCCAAGAGAAGCTAGCTGGAAGGATACAAAAGATACTTCAAGTTGGTTCCTATGTCATTTGATGGCAAATGTCACCACAGCTTCCTCCGGCTGGGGCTGAATAATTCCTGTCTCTAAAACCACTAATGATTTTGATATTTTATGATCGCTATGGGTTACAGTCTTGGATGGAACCATTTCTGAGGTAGGAAAAATCCCACAAGAGCTCTCCATTCAGAACTAAGTCTTACCAGAAGGACTCCTTCTGCCTTAATACAAGCAACCCATATTCCTGGGGTGATTGAAAATGGGTCTGCAAAACCATTTCCGGGGACGGTGACAAAGGCTGGCTCCTTACTCGGCAAGAAGGTGATCTCTTTGCTTTGAGCAGCACCTATCAGAAATACAAAGAACTGCTTAAGGCCTTTTTCTATTAGTCAGTGTTATGATTTTAGACACTCAGTTTTGAACGATGATACGTACTGATCAGATTTACTGATCTTATCTTTAAAAATGGTACTACGCAAATGCATATCTATTAAATAGGCTAGAAAGACATTGATAAGATGTTAGCGGCCGGGCACGGTGGCTCAAGCCTGTAATCCCAGCACTTTGGGAGGCCGAGGCGGGTGGATCACGAGGTCAAGAGATCGAGACCATCCTGGTCAGCATGGTGAAACCCCGTCTCTACTAAAAATACAAAAAATTAGCTGGGCATGGTGGTGTGTGCCTGTAATCCCAGCTACTCAGGAGGCTGAGGCAGGAGAATTGCCTGAACCCAGGAGGCGGAGGTTGCGGTGAGCTGAGATCGCGCCATTGCACTCCAGCCTGGGTAAAAAAGGCGAAACTCCGTCTCAAAAAAAAAAAAAAAAAAAAGATGTTAGCAATGCTATCTACACTGGGATTATGAATAATTGTTTAACCTATTAATATATTAATACTCATAAACAGTTTAGGAAAGCTCCTTGCCTATAGTAAGTGTTCAACATATTACATTAGCTACTAAATTATTTTTTCCATTTTTGTTTGTGTGTGATTTTTTTTTAAGCCAGCATCTCACTATGTTGCCCAGGCTGGAGTGCAGTGCTTATTCACAGGTGCAATCATAGCTCCTGAGAGCCTCAGACTCTGAGCTCTAACAGTCCTCCCACTTCAGCCTCCCAAGTAGCTGGGACTACAGCATATGTGATTTTTACATTTTAATTTTTATTAATGAACACGCATAAGAAAAAGCTTCACTGTCTGTTTTCAGGACAAAATACATTTTCTTCTGCATTAAACAAAAGGAGGACCTTCTGCAAGAGATTCAGAAAGAAATAAACTGTTGCATCTGAGTTCAATTGACACTTCTTTTTCTTCCAAACAATTATCTTCTCCAAATCCTCGTGTCCACTCTTGTTCTACAAAAATTGATGGTGGCCTACTACGTGCCAGGCTTGGAACTAAGTTCTGGTGACAAGGCAGTAAACACAGTAAGCAGGGCCTTTGCTCCCTGCTGGTGAGGACAGGAGAAGTGAGCAATAAGTACCAGCAGACAGGAGAACGTGGAGAATGTGGCACAGTCTGGACACTGGTATTTGGGAGGAGGCACAAGTTATCACAAGACATAACATAACTGGGGCTCCCAACTCAGACTTAGGGGAAAGGTGTCCAGGAGGACAAGGAAACGAAGCAAAATGTATTCCAACTATCTGAGCTAACAGAGGGCAAACTGCTGCTGTTATTGTCATGTAGGAGGCAGAGGGGCCTGTTAAGAGTTTGGAGTCTGAAGACTTTGTCTACAAACATCCAGCTGTGCCTGGCAATTTACTAAACCTCTCAGCTCTGTTTTCTCTTCAACTCTTCCGTTTGCAAAGTTCTTATGATGTGAGGAAACGGGTGCTAAAGTACTCGTAAATGACGAAGTAAGCCTGCTAGTTCCTTCTATGGGTTAATCAACCTCCAGCCACGCAAGCTGGGCTGACACAACTTGGAAATGCCATCATTTCTTCCCTCATTCGGAATGAACCGTGGACACTTATCAAAGATGGTACACATCTTGATCCTAAATTAGATTTCCATTGGTGCCATTTTGCATCCTTGTAAAATTCCAAATGCTTGTTGGAATCTGTTTCCAGGACAGGTAGAAGCCCTTATACCTTCAAGAACACACCTCCAGGACTTCTCTCTGCCTGTGGCGAGGCTATGCTCTCTTCTCTTGTCCCTCTGCCCTTGGGAATTTCTCACCCCTGAGTCAGGTTTGCAGCTCCCTCCTGGAGCTCTTTTGGGCTTTGTGCTTTACAGAATTCATAGGAAAAATCCCCATCCTTACCCATTTCTCCTCTGACTATTTGGTTAGTTTGAAACAATGGAAGAATTTAGGACGGCAGGCCAAAATCTCTCAGGTAACACCAAAAAGGTGACACCCACTTCACCATGAATGAACTATAAATCAGCTCTGTTCAGTGAAGACATCATAACCCATGGGGTTCAGCCAAGGTACACAGGTTGTTATATCTATTTTTTAAATGAGAGTTAATGACAAATTTAATAGCAGAACGTAAGTGATTGTTTAGAGAATGAACAGTAATAAATGATAGAGTACCTAGAGAACTGTATAACCAGACCATGAGCCAGGCTTGACATCTTCTAAGGGTGATCAACTTTGTGAAAATCAGAGAAAGTGTTTCACTACTTATTTCTTAATTGAAAAGAGGCTTGAAATTTTACCTACTTGCCTCACCCCAGGATGGATAAATAGTTATATGACCAGATGCTGCTTCGGTTCCAGGGTTAACGTATCTCAGAATAACGCGAAACAAGGAGTGATTTGACTCCCCCACATTCAATGTTATTCTTACATCATTCTGAAAACACCGAAAGGCCATAAAGCAAAAAAAAAAAAAAAAAAAAAAAAAATAGGTTAAAAGACATATAGCCAAACAGTGACTTTATTCTGTTCAAGTGTCACTACTGAACTTGTAATGTACACAAACACACACACACACACACACACGCACACACTCTCTCACACTCAGTCAACAAGCACCGAATAGCTAGTGAAAGATGGAAACAGGCAAACCTAACAATGAATTAAAATCACTTACAATCAAAATTACAGTGAAAACGCACTCCCTCAGCAACTGAGATCCTCTTTTGACCTTTTTGTGATCAGGCAGACAGAGTGGAGTATTAGATGGACTAGTTTAAGAAAGCCACAGTGACAGAGCAACCACCACTGGCTAGGAAAAATAAAAAGGCAGATGAGAAGGAAAGGAGGGTGTATTATTTCACACCCAGAGAGAGACTGCTTCAGAGTGCGCTTCACATACATGAAGTCTAAATGGTCACAGAAACCAATGGTGGCCAGGGAAAGGTTAAAGACTCCAAATACAATAATGGTAACATCTGAATGTAACTAAAATATGCAAGGGAAATGATGGCTTTTCAACCCAGAAGAAGGGGTCCTGTGTTTCCCAGGGCTTGGGCTCACACAGTATTTTGTAAACATTGTGGAGCCTGGGCTCTTGGAGGAAAGGGTAGGCTATTTTAATTCTGAACCACTGACTCTATGTCCAGTTGGGCTGTGGCCCAAGGAAACTTCATGAAACTTGGAAATTCCCAAATCAGCGGTTCTGTTGGTCTTTCCCCCAACTCCTTTGGTTAAAAGGCAGGGAATATCTGTTAAGGGAGATATTGGTGACAATAAAGACTGATTTTGCTTAGAATCACTTGCTCTGGAAGCAGGAGCTATAGGTTACCCACACTGAGGAACTCCTGCTGACCCTTGCAATTTGTCTGAATTCATCTTGAAGTGTTAGTTTCAGGTGGAAAATAAATATGCAAAAATGTATTAGGAGCAAAGTAAAGTAAGTGGTGATCCTGGGGACGCCACCAAGGTTCTCTGACCAAAATAACTTTCTCAGAAAATGTATCATTAGAGATGACTTCCTTTGTGTCCACCAGCTATTCAGCACTGGTGAGAAGGTATACATTTTGCTTGGGTTGTCAGTCATTCACATCCTATTATGACTCAATGGAATTTATTGCTTTTTTTCTTAATAATGAAGTAATATCAGGGAACTAAAGAAATTAAATAATTGTATTTGGGGAGTGGGGGGAAAGAGTGAAGCATCTTAAGATCCTAGGTACTATTTCGGAAAGGCAGCTTGGATAGGGGACTTTGGCCAGGCAAAAAGCAGGGTTAGAATCAGTGCGGGGGTGAGGGGGTGGGGCGGTCTGAGAGAACTGTGGTCCTGTCCCAGCTTCTCTACAGGCTGATTTGAGGTAGCAACAGCAAGTACCAGTCTTGGATCTGCTAAGGACAAATACTGTGTTACCATGATTGTCAATTTACCTCTCATATTCTAAATTCTCCACTGAGAAACAGTTCGAAGAAATCAACCTCAAAAAGAAATTCTGAGGACAAAACTATGCAACGACTATATCTATACAGAATTTTTTTGTTTTTGTCAGAGTTTTGCTCTTGTTGCCAGGCTGGAGTGCAATGGTGTGATCTCGGCTCACCGTAACCTGCGCCTCCTGGGTTCAAGTGATTCTTCTGCCTCAGCCTCCTGAGTAGCTGGGATTACAGGTATGTGCCACCATGCCCGCCTAATTTTATATTTTTAGTAGAAACAGTGTTTCCGCATGTTGGTTAGACTGGTCTCAAACTCCCGACCTCAGGTGATCCACCCGCCTCAGCTTCCCAAAGTGCTGGGATTACAGGTGTGAGCCATTGTGCCCGGCCTACAGAATTTTTTAGTTATAAGTAGTGAGACTTATAAGTTCTGAAGGTAAATGAAGAATGTGTAAATTACCTTACTCATTCGAATACAAAACCAAGATAGATGGATACAGTAGAGAAGAATGAAGGAAAGAGAAATATGGAAAAAATGAAATAGCACTAACACTCATTTATCTTAGCTTCTATGTACATAGCAAGTCAAAGTTTAAAAAAAAATCAGCCAAAAATTAGAAACGCTAGCTTTATGGGAATTACTTAAACCAACTCATTTTTGTTTTCCACAAATGGCTTTAAAGAAAACTGTCCCTCACATTCTAGTATAGCCTAACGTCATTTAGGAAACTTCCCTCTTCTCATAAAAAACCTCCAGAGATAAACACTGTTTTTCTTTAATTCCTAACTTTCTGATTTGGCAACCAAATTAAAGTAACAATGAACTGTGAAATACACACATATACTTATCAGTTAATATACAGCCCTACCCCAAACCCCAGGTTTAACCTAAACTCCACTGCCAGCCCATAATATGGAGAAAAAGAACCCTGGAGTCAGTTCTGGGAACAGGTCACCTTTTACGGGGCTCACTGAGACTGCTGTGGGGAAGGATCTGGGCTACTAGGCCATGAAGATGCTTACTATGGGTTGCATACCTGTACTGAGGTCATCTGGGTATATCCTCTCCAGCTAAACTCAGGAAATGCCAGGGGATCAAATCCAAACCGAAGATCTCTCCCATTAGGGGTGGTACCATCTTCAATCTCATACTTCATATGATACAAATCTGGGAAATAGTAGTTGTCTTCAGGCCTTTTATAAATAAAAAATAAACACGTAAACACATACAGAAAGTTAGGTCCATGGATCATCTGACCATCCTTTAATCAAAATAGTTACTACTGAAGAACTCCACCACATTGACAGAGTACATTAAATAGAGGACAAATGAGAGATCTCCTGCTCTTTCTCTAAATTACTGCTTTCACTCACATAAACATTCCATAAGACACACTCCACACCTAATTCCAAGCATTAAGATAAGAAAATCATTTAGCACAAGCCATAGTGGTAGCATCCTTTAATATGTTCTAAATAGTTCCCAATGATTTAGCGAAGTCAAATTAGGTTACCATTTATTTAATCACTCATTCATTCATACACTCATTCACTCACTACATAAATATTAACATCTATGTGCTAGGCACTCTTGCTAAGCACCATAGGTATAATGGTGAATATGACATAAAATATTTCACATGCTAAATTTACAAGTAAGATAATATTTTTTCTCTATATGTATTTTTTTAATCATTAGAAAGGCTCTTCTTTGCCTTGTTTTCTCTTAAACTGTATGCCTATTAATGAATTCTTTTCAAGAGTTCAGCTGTGGTAGGCACAGAGAAGTATCCAAAATATTCCAACATTGTGTGGTATTTAACAAACTACTTAAAGTTCTCAAAAAAAAAAAAAAAAAAAAAACACACACTTTGCCAATCCAGTCACAAGCTGGATTTAGTGGGTTTAATGCCATAAAGATCAATTTGTTAAAGGAAATGAAAGGCCATGTTCCTATACTGCAGATAGAATTAGGAATGCTTACAACTTTTCTGGAAGCAATTTACAAAGATCTTTAAAAATGTTCATTCACATTGACTCAGTAATTCTACCTCCAGAAATCTGTTCTAAAGAATGATTTTGTAGATAGTCAAATAATTAACATAAAAGAATGTTTAAAACAACGAAGATTTGGAAACAACATAAATGTATAATTATGAAATAAATTATAAAAAATAATGTGACCATTTAAAATGTGAAGACTAATGATAATAGGAAATATTTATGATATGATGTGAAGAAATGAATGCGAATTATGTGAAAAAATAGAATGCTAATTTTTAATTCACAGACAAGGTCTAGAAAAAAATACACCAAAAATATTAAAAAGAGGTTATCTCTGGGTAGTGAAATGAAGATTTTTCTTTATCTTTTTACTTTCATTAACTTATTAAAATGTGTTCACTGGACATATATTACATTTATTATCACAAGAATTATTTAGAAAACAAAGTGAATACGAATTCTTTCTACACTTGTTAGAAAATCTAAAAATACTCTGATAAAATCACAAGCTAACGTGTAGGGGATTTGGTACAAAAGGACGCGAGATTGTCAGGTGGGAGAAGAGGTGCTCCAGCTTCCACGCTGCTGGTTTGCTAGCCTTTATTTCAGTTATCATTTACCACTAGATCCAAGGACATGCTCTAAAACTGAAGACATATGTATGTGTGCATGTATCATGTGAAGTCTTGCCTCAGGCTGGGCAATCTAATTCCTATTTGGTTGCATTATTTTATGCTGAAAATCAGTCCATTACCTACATAGTTGGAAGGAGAAAAAATGTTTGCTGGTGAAGTAGGGGAGAAGCTCACTTTATCAACACCAGGGTAGAGCAAGGTGAAACACAGGTGGAAAACGCTTTTTTTGTTTGTTTTGTTTTTTAAGATGGAGTCTCACTTTGTCATCCAGGCTGGGGTACAGTGGCATGATTTTGGCTCACTGCAACCTCTGCCTCCCGGGTTCAAGTGATTCTCCTGCCTCAGCCTCTGGAGTAGCTGGGATTACAGGTGTGCACCACCACGCTTGACTAATTTTTGTATTTTTAGTAGAGACAGTGTTTCACCATGTTAGCCAGGCTGGTCTGGAACTCCTGACCTTAGGTGATCCACCTGCCTGGGCCTCCCAAAGTGCTGGGATTACAGGCATGAGGCAGGAAAATGTTTTATGCAGGTATTTACAAAGCTCTTCTGGTCCATGGTGAGGCTCACTGCTCTTCAGGAAAACACACCTACTGATGTGCGTTCTTCACAAATCTTTTACTCCAATCCCCCATGGTGACAGCCAATTAGAAAGGCTGAGGGAAAGTGCAGCTGGGTTGCTCTTTTTTTTTTTTCTTTTTTTTTTTTCTTTTGATTAGAGACAGGGTCTTGCTCTGTTACCCAGGCTGGAGTACAGTGGTGCAATCATAGCTTACTGCAGCCTCAAACTCCTGGGCTCAAACTATCCTCCTGCCTCAGGCTCCTGAACAGGTAGGACTACAGGCATGTGCCACAGTGCCTGCCTAATTGTACTTTTTTGTAGAAATGGAATCTCACTGTGTTGCTCAGGCTGGTCTTAAACTACTGGCCTCAAGCAATTGTCCCATCTGGGTCTCCCAAAGTGCTGGGGTTACAGCTTCCAACCATCACTCCCAGCCTGCTCTGACTTTTAGAATTCAAATGTTGGAAACGTTGAGAGAAAAGAGAGAATCACCTGGCTAAATACAATTTACCTTCATAACATAAAAGATTTCTTTGTAAATCTGTTGCTAATACAAGTAGTGAAAGTACCTGAGAGTTAGAAGTTATTTTTCTTCCCTCCACAGAGGAAAAATCATGGATGAAACACCATGGTTTCAAAATATTTATAAATGGTGAAATATAATGGTTTAAGAGACAGAACAATACCACCCATAGTTCCCACAGTTCCCCAGTCTCAATCTCCACCTTATTTCCTTGCTCCTATAGTTCATTGTCACCTTCTTCTGCATGAGACAAAGCACTTCTTCCCCACTTCTAAATTTTCTTGCCCCTACCCCCACAGCAACCCTGGGGAACAACTTTGGCCTCTCTACTTCCTCACTCCTGGATCCCAAGGGGGAAACAGGAACTGAACCTTATTAGCCCAGGCACCTGGGTATGTTGCACTGCCCCCCTTAATCCCTCTCTTATTGGCCTGAGCACCTGGGTGTGTGGCACTGCCCCCTCTCATTCCCTATCTTATTGGCCTAAGCACCTGGGTGTGTGGCACTGCCCCCTCTCATTCCCTCTCTTATTGGCCTGAGCACCTGGGTGTGTGGCACTGCCCCCTCTCATTCCCTATCTTATTGGCCTGAGCACCTGGGTGTGTGGCACTGCCCCCTCTCATTCCCTCTCTTATTGGCCCAGGGACCTGGGTGTGTGTTCCTCCCTCCTCTTATTCGCTCTGTCCCTGGAGTGAGCCTATCTGTGGGTTCCTCCTGCTCCAACTGGCACATGGAGGTTGGGCCCTGAGAACCACCTCATGCTTCCAGCTCTGGTCTTGCCCACCTGGTTTTTGTACTTGTGGGAACTTTCAGGCAAACGTGATCCATTGTCTACACAGTGGAACAGGCTTATGGGCAAAGTGATCTCCTGTTTTAAACAACTCACACAAAAGTGTCCAGATTTCAAGTGACACAGGACAGCTTCCCTTGCCCTTGATTCGTAGGGCTGTTTCTCTCTTTACCAGAGTGTAGCACAGGCAGAAATGCCTAAGACCGTCTTCCACACTGTGAACATGGGAAGAAGCCTACGCGAAACTCACCACTGGCAAGCCTTTCCCACGACATGCTCCCGGCACTGGCACACCCCGGAGGCCCCACTGCACACGGAGGACAGCGCCCCACCGATGTCACACTGACACCCTGAAAGCCAGGAAATGGCAGCAGTTACCCCTTAAACCATCTCCACACTGAGTGCCTCCACCGCTCTATGAGAAGGGAAAACAACAAGCCCAGTGATACAGCACCTGCCTTCCTTCCTCTGCCACATCTATCTGGCTGGTGTTTGAGGTCTAGGAAACTCACAAACTGAAATAGTATGTCCGCACTTGGAAACCAAATTCGACCCCCAAAACAAAAACAAAATTAAAATGTTGCGTCTTTCCAAAAGTCTGCTTCTAAGTTGGAGGCAGCTACTGTAGGCCAGCTCAAACACTGTTGTCAGTGCAAAAACGACAGCAGCCCGGGGGTAAACACACTTTAGAAACAGTGCTGTTGTAAAGACCAGGTGCTAACCAGGGGCTGAGCTAGAGATTCAAGAGTAGCCTTGTGGGGCAGCTGTTCCTGCAATTTCATTACTTAACACAATGCTCTCTCTCAAAATCTGCTGCTAGCATTTTTGATAATATATCTTTAAAATTACCAAAACTTGATGTCATTTATAAAACTAACAGATGCCCTCCCATCCCAGTTATGTTTTTTATAATTAAACCCACAGTGTGCTGGTAGAAGAGAGGCAGAAATGCAGAAACAGCCTCACTTGCAATTTACTAGTTTCAATGTAATGAATGATTGGTCAAATTCTCTAGACAGAATGTTTCAGGGCCATTCCATCAGAAAGTCTGTGTGAAGACAACAAACTCAGCCAGGTGCGGTGGCTCATGCCTATAATCCCAGCACTTTGGGAGGCCAAGGTAGGTGGATCACCTGAGGTCGGGAGTTCAAGACCAGCCTGACCAACATGGAGAAACCCTGTCTCTACTAAAAATATTTAAAAATTAGCCAGGTGTGATGGCACATGCCTGTAATCCCAGCTACTCAGGAGGCTGAGGCAGGAGAACCACTTGAACCTGGGAGGCAGAGGTTGCGGTGAGTGAAGATCCAGCCTGGGCAAAAAAAACTAAACTCTTCTCAAAAAAAAAAAAAAAAAAAAAAAAGATGACAAACTCAGAAGAAATGTCATTCGGACCATCTTTGTCCGTCAACACTGTGCGTTGCTCAAGGCCCGCTAAACTTATTTACCTTGACACCCAAAGTAATTGCTCTTTTCCAAAGCAAAATATCCATCTTCACAGGTGTCACAGGAATCGCCACCCACATGGGACTTGCAGTGACACTCACCATCTCCCTGCAGAACAATGAGCCAGATGACCATATTTGATAAAATTACAGAATTCACTAACCTCCAAGATTGAAAACTGGCTCTTAGATCATAGGAAGCAGTGTAGCCAGGATCTGGAAAGGATTACCATGCACTGCAGGATGAGTGAGGTACTAACACACGCCCCCAGAAACCCCACAAGCAGTCGCTACAACGTTCTGCTGTTGTCACATGAAAACTCAGCCCTCTTTACCTGCCTACACTCTCCAGTTCCACTCACTGTTCCCGCCTGATGGCACTGGCATTCTGTGGAGATAAGAGAGCATCCTTGAACCAGGGAGACACAAAAGACAGTTCTTGGCTGTGGGAACATTACACACCTGTGACACAACGTGAACAGTCAGCCTTGCCAGCGCGGTTCAACAGAATGAGAGTCTGCATCGCTGAGGCCTAAAATTGGACTGCTTTCTGAAACTGGTAGAATAGACCAATCCGGACTATCCATCTACAAAAAGTAATGGCTAGTTTATGGCTACTCCATGACAAAAGCTGTAAAATCATGGGAGATTTAAATGACTCTAATGCCAAGGTCATTACTGATATGCATGCATGAAAATACACTCTATTCAAGGTTATTCGCTACATTCAGTACCCTTAACTCAGTGTTTTTAAGTCCTTATACTGGCTTCAAAATAAGAATAACATTAAGGTTAAACCAGAAAAAGTAGATTATAAAAACAAGGACATAAAAACCATTTATCAAGTAGCTGCCTTCTTGAACAACAAAACACATACAGAAACAGGATAGAAATCCCTGCTGAGATTTTGAAAATGACAGAACTTCTGCCAAAAGTGGGGGGGGTGGGGGTGGACATAAAAACGTTACATAGAATCTTGTCAAATTGAAGTGATTCAACAAATAGCTCTTTTGTGGGTTTGGTCACTGAGGCAGAGAAAATTAAGAGGACATTACAATGCAGTAAATTAAGACATATAAGAAACCGGTTCTACCTGAACATCCACTGGGATTTTCTTTGTCCAGATTCCAATACAATGCTTTGCAGATGCTGCAAGTAGGACCTTCAACATGAAGCTTGCATTGGCAATACTCCTTTGAATGAAAATCAAACAAACATTTGACTTCTTGGAATTAAGACATGTTTTCAAACATGTGCGTGAGCAAAGACTTGTCACAGAAATATATTTTGGTCATGAAAAGTAATTAAGTGTATCCAGGGGGGAATATACTGGGTTGATTTCAACAGTCTGCTAATTGCTTTTGTTGATTTTTATTCATTTATTTGTTATACACGTAATCCACATTTGTGGTTAAAAAGAAACTGGAAAATACGGAGAAGGAAAATTTAAAAATCACACTTATTTATAACATTGTCAGGGTCTGTTGATACTGTTACAGCATAGACTACCAATTTACAAAGAAAAATGTCTGAATATTCAACATGTTGAAAGTCAATAAAGAATTGTTTATCTGAGACTGCTTTCATAATAAGCAAGATTCCCAGCCTTGGGTCAATCAAGGCTTATAGTAAGGATGGCAGAACCTCTTTCACTCCATCCATTCTGTGCCTACAAGTCAGCATCTCTAGGCACAGAGGCCAAGAAGACAGACAATGTCTAAATTGTCTAAATTATCTTAGAAAATTTTTCAGAATAGGCCAGGCGTGGTGGCTCATGCCTGTAATCCCAGCACTTTGGGAGGCTGAGGCCGGTGGATCACCTGAGGTTAGGAGTTTGAGACCAGCCTGGCCAATATGGTGAAACCCCGACTCTACTAAAAATACAAAAATTAGCCAGGTGTGGTGGTGCATGCCTGTAATCCCAGCTACTCGGGAGGCTGAGGCAGGAGAATCGCTTGAACCTGGGAGGTGGAGGTTGCAGTGAGCTGAGATCATGCCACTGCGCTCCAGCCTGAACAACAAGAGTGAAACTCTGTCTCAAAAAAATACAGAAATAAATAAAAATAAAATTGTTCAGAATACCATGGTATTATGCTTGGAATAATATAAAATAAATTGTAATTATTTTGTACACAGCCAACTTTATTTAATGTGTCCTTGGCCACTGATTTTCTCAATATTATCAATTATGTTTGCCAGACTTATGTGCAGGGCTCCACAGAGGCAACACCCTCTGAGTAACCTACAAATCTACAGTAGGAGTTCAACTCTAAGACTCCAGAGTAACAAGTTTAACTGAATCTTATTCTTTTGTTTTTGAAAAAAAATCACAAAATCACATACCCACTTTGAAAAAGAACAATGACCTCTTTAAGCAATTTAGCCTTGGGTCTTATTTTAATTTCAGGAAGTGTCCACACCGTTACTCCTTAATATGTATCAGAATAATACAGATTGACCACCCTTTTATAGTCTACTTACCAAATTGGAGTTGACGGTACCAGCTGGGTCACAAGCACTGCTGGAACCTGAATATGATTTAGAAATTTTTAAATTATCAGGCAGTTTGTTTTTCTCTTTGTTTTGATGTTTCATGTATATTAGTTTTGTTTTCAAAAATAGTGTATCTGCATTTATATTTTCAATAGATGTGCGGCAAAGATTTCGCGTGCATAGTCAGGCATCTTGAATGACATTTATGGTCCTTAATCCCCAAATTACCTCTTTTGCCCCTGAACACATCTCTACCCTGTCTATTCATGACAGTTCACTTCTAATTGATGATGAAGGAGGATATGAGGGAAAGATTCTAAAATTTTGACCATCATTTGTATTGTCCAGAAGAGGGCAATATTGTACCAAGAGATTTTTAATTGCCCATTTAAAAGAAGTTTGAGAATTTCTAAGCACATCTTTAATTATCACACCTCCTTGGTCCCACCTGTACTGAAGTTATCTATAAAATCAATCGTTTTGTTTTCCTGACTTAGTATATAGCACTACAAACCAAATATAATCTCTCTTCAATAAATTGGGATCTTGCAATGTTTCAGTATTACAGTTACACAGTGTTCGAACTGGTAAAGTCTGTTCTGAGACTAGTTTTTCAAATCATTTCAATAAATCCAGAATAGAATCTTGTTTCCTTACAAATTGTTCCTTAGCCTTACTGCCTTTGTTTCCTCTGTTTCTGTTTGCCTCAGCTTCCTCTTGTGATTCTCATTCTCTCTCTCACCCTCTTTTTTTGAGACAGGATCTTGCTCTGTCTGCCAGGATGGAGTGCAGTGGTACGATCAGAGCTCACTGTGGTCTCCAGTGCCTGGGCTCAACTGATCCTCCCACTCCATCCTCCTGAGGAGCTGGAACTACAAGCATGCACCACCATGCCTGGTTATTTTACAAAATATCTGTCAGAGACAGGATCTCATTATGTTGCCCAGGCTGGTCTCCAACTCCTGGCCTCAAGCAATCCTCCCACCTCAGCCTCCGAAAGTGCTGGGATTATAGGCATGAGCCACCCCGCCCTGACCTCTCTTTCTTTTCTGATGTTCTCCTGCACCCCACATTTTTCCGTAATACTCAACACAAACTTCCAGCTCTTTGTTTTTTATGCCCAGCCTCAGGTTCCTCTCCAGGACACAAACATTGTCATCTAGCCCTGGGATGACTGTGGCTGCTCAGCTTCTCTGCCCGGCAGCCACAGCACTTCCTTCCACTCCTGAGGCCCATGGAAGTGAGCAGAACCATGCAGGATGCCCTTGAATCCTAGGGACCTTCAGGCCTTCAGAAAGGCAAGCACCCCCTCAGACTGCCTGCTGCAACTTCCACCCCCAAGGAAACCTGGTCTCCAGAGGATTCTGGTTAGGAAGATTCTGGGAAACGAAGTCAGCCCTGTCTTCAAGGGATGGGAAGCAGTCTGAGAAACCACATTCTCCTGATGGAAAGTCTGGGTCGGCCTTCCACAAACACCTCTTTAGAGAGCACCTTCCACAAACACCTCTTCAATTTCAGCAGCACCTCTGAAATTGACAGTCAGGAGCTCCTGGTCTGCTCTCTGGCTGCACACACCAAGGAGCTCAGGGAAATTTGTGGACATCTCATTTCTGTCCCCTCTGCCACGGTACATGGGCAACCTTCAATCTCTCATATCAATGGAGGGATGAAGACCAACCACGTCCCACAGCTGCAGCCTTGGTTTTCAGCTCCCCCTCAGCGCACTCTCTCCAAACTGCATAGACTCCAGCGTATCCCACCCACCCACCTTGCGCAACACCCGGGCTGAAGTGCGATGACATGGTCCCCTAGAAGGCCGCAGGAGGTCAGGGAGGGAGGACCGAAACACAGCAAAGGCCCTGCTAAGCCTGCTGGCAAGGGGAGCGGTTAGAAACATGACAGTGCTGCCAGCATTAGCACCACAAGCTGGGGGCAGGAGAAGGCCTGATGCTTCAGGGCAGAAGACAACAAACACCCGCTTTAGCTCAAAGAAGTCACCTTTGCCACACACTATCTGCAGAAAACTGACATATGAACCAAGAAACCCGCATTTATGGCACATGGAAATTTACATTCTTTTTAGTTAGAAAAAAAAATCATTTCTGGATTTCTCTGAGGATACATATATGATATACATGTTTTCAAACCAGACTTGAGCTGGGGAGGAACCAGGCAGACTAGGTCTGTGAAAGCAGGATGTAGGGGTGACCAGGGGTGGGTGTGTGGGGGATTTGCAGGCTTCCCTGGGCGGCTGGCTGCACACACTTCAGAGAGGAACCAGACCTCCAGCAATATACTGGCTTCCCTACCTTGGCAGTGGGGGAAATCATAGGCTCCTGAGAGACACCTGTCACATCGCTGTCCTGTAACCCCTGGCTGACATTCACACTGTCCAGTCACTGAGCTGCAGGGTGTCTGGTAGGATCCCAGGGCTGAACACCAGCAGGCTGGATGAAAGAATGCAATCAGACTTAGGCGGGGGTTGCAGGTATGGGAGGGGGAAGAACCACATCCCAGATCAGAGCGTGAGGGTGGAGCCAGAAAGACCCAAATGCAAGTTCCAGCTCCACCTCTTATGAGACCCGGAACCTGAAACAAGCCATTCAACTGCTCTAAGCCTCAGTTTCTCCTTCCTTAAATGGGAGTGATACTAGCTTTTATTTGATAACTTGTTGTGAGGGTCGCATAAGATAAAACTTAAAAGAGCTGGGGACAATGCCTATCATAGCGAGCACTCAGTAACTGCTAGTTTTTATTGCTGCCATGAATTTCATATTCAGAAAGATTTCCAGGTGCTGGGTGATGGTTTTGGGGATTCCGCTCACCTAGAGAAACCGGTATTCGTAGGAGGAGGAAGCAGGGAACAACTGACAGGGGTATGACTCACTGGAGGGCCACTTTAATTCCATATCAAGTGCCAGCCATTCCAGGCCAGATCAGTCTACAATTGTCCCATTCTTCCCTGTCCTCCTCTCTTTATACCTATTTTCTCAAGGTCCAGTATAGTTAAATAGTGATAGAAAAAACTGTGCGGGCAACATTGAAATGGATGGGAAAGGCATCCTAGTTTCCTCCCTCCCCCATGTCTGCACCTACCCTCCAAGCTGTTACCATGATCTTTGGCTAAGTGGATGAAACATGCATGGATGGAGAGAATAGATGCTAGCCATTCATTCTCCTTTTGGCCCCCTTCCCGCTGGGTCAGGTCCCTACCAGCCTCTGAGACTAGAATTCTATGGGCTGGAATTGCACAAGGTCATCCCCACTTGCATTGCAAAAACCCTGCTTCTGGAAAGGGATGAGCAGTACAAATGACCTTACTGACTTCTCCAGCTGAAGAGTTCTACATCTTAAAAACTGAAAGAAACTAAATAGATCATCTCATTGAGTCCCATTATTACATGCTGAAGCTCAGAAGTTAAACGGCATTTCTAAAGTCAATGGATTAGTCTCTGGCAAAGGGCTTCAGTCTTTGGGGTCACACACATCTGGATTCCAGTGCCAGCTGTGCCACTTAACAGCCCTGCAATCATGGCTAGTTGCTTAGCTTCTTTGGACCTCAGTTTCCTCTACTGTAAACTGGAGCTGATAATAGCATCTGCTTTATGAGGTCGTCTGAGAATCACCAGCAATAAGACACTGAGCACGATGGTTGCATCTCAGGAAATGTTCACACTTATCAACATTATTATTTTAATGACCTAAGCCCCCCAGTGCTTAGGGAGGTGCTCTTTACACTTTCCCATGTGGAATTAATGAAATTCAATGAATTAGTTTATCTGATTTCCAAATTTATATCCAGTGTAGGCAGTAAAAGATACATCCTAGTTTGCAAGATTTCAAAAATTCCATGTTAGTTAGAGCCTTGAGAAAGGAAATATTCATAACGTAAAGCCCCAATCTGGTGATTTATTTACAGGTAGCCTTGGAATCTAAGCCTTGGTGCACGGGGCCCCCACAGGGACGAGACCATGCTGTTTTCATTCTCTGACAATCCAGCCCATGTATGTGCTTTTTAGTAAATGACAGTGAATGACAGAATTTGCCTGAGTTGCCATTGGACACATGAAAGAAGCTTTCACTGATGGAGGGGAACTTGGCTAGTTTACTCACTTACAAAGTATCTGGGAGCTTCAACAGGCTATGTGGCTTGTTCAGAGAGACACAATTAGTTGCAGACCCAGAGAATTTACTATCATTTCACTTTCCTATTTTGTAGTCATCCATCTGGCAGACACTGATTGAAGGCCTACTGTATTCTCGCAGTACCATGGCTCGGTGTTGTGGTGGAGGTACATACAAAAACACGTATAGTTAGCCTTCCACATATATGGGTTCCACATCTGTGCATTCAACCAAACACAGATCAAATGTATTCAGAAAAAAAACACAATTAAAAAATAACAAAAATAATACAAATAAAATAATAATGCAACGTAACGACTATTTATATAGTGTTTATATTAGGTATTATAAGTAATCTAGAAATCTAATGTATATAGGAGGATGTGTGTAGTTTATTTGCAAATATTGTGCCATTTTATATCAGGGACTTGAGTATCCTCGGCTTTTGGTTTCCATGGGTGGTCCTGAAACAAATCTCCCATGGATACTGTGAGTTGACTGTATTCCCTGATCTCAAAGAGCTAAAAATCCAGAAGAGGGACTACAGGATGACTGACATAGCACAAAGCACCCCCACAAGACTACACACTCCACACGAAACATGCCTAATGCTCCCCCAGGTACTGGCTGACAGCAGCACAAACACTCAGATCTCCTACTGCCATTTCCATCTGTCTTTTTTCATGGCCCATGGTCCCACCTGGCCTGTCTGCAGAGGTTAAGTCTCTACGTAGTGGTAAAATTCTGAGGAAATGTTCTAGGACCTACAGTGGTTACTTTTGTGTCAATTTGGCTATGTTACCAAACTACCGAACACTAGTCTACATGTTGCTGTGAAGGTATTTTTAAGATGATATTAACATTTAAATTAGTAGACTTTGAGTAACGCAGATTATCTTCCATCACTCGAGTGGGCCTCGTCCAATCAGGTGAAGGCCTTAAGACAAAAAGACAGATGTCCACCAAGGAAGACGGAATTCTGCCTACAGATTGCCTTTGCACTCAAGCTGCAAGATCACCTCTTAACTACATCTCCAACCTGTTAGCTCTCTTGTAGATTTTGGACTTGCCAACCCCTACAACTGTGTGAATCAATTCCTTAAAATAAATCTCTACACACACACACACACACACACACACACACACACACACACTATATATATATATATATATATATCTACATAGATAAGCAGATAAGATGTATTACTGTCTATCTATCTATCTATCTACCTACCTACCTACCTAGAGAACTCTGACTAACACAGATTTTGGCACCAAGAGAAATATTCTTGGAGGACCAGAATTTTTTAAAATTCATAAATACAGGCAGAGTCTCACTGTGTTGCTCAGGCTGGTCTCAAACACCTGGACTCAAGTGATGCTCCTGCCTTAGCCTCCCAAAGTGCTGGGATTATAGGCATAAGCCACCATGCCCAGCCAGGAACAGAATTTTAAGAATAAATTCTCTGAATTGGTTTGGGGGCTTCTGGAATTGGTTCTCTAAATGACTAGATTTAGAGGCACTAATGACTCTATTTCCAATAGTGAAGAAGGCACTGATAGTCATTGGTGTGATGTGGTAATAGGGATACACAAAAATATCACTATTGGATACTCCTAATCAAATCATTATGACAGGCAAGGTTCTCAGTGACCATGTATTTGATAACATAGAACATTTTTGTCAAATTAATGGGTATAATGAGCTTGGTTAGTTGCTGTTAGTTGGGCTGGACAAAGCAGGGAAAGAAAAGGAGTTGAGGGATTCGAGTTCCTACTCAGATGCAGCATAAATAACCTGAAAGTATCTTTGTCTTCCTGGAAAGAAATCCATATCTCCTATAGCCTCAGAGCAGAGACTGCAGAAAACTAAGGATCCTCATCCTGCGAGTGTCTGAATTGCAATGCAAGTTAAATTCCCAACCTTGCAGAGTATCTGCTGTTAAAGTGAGGGCATAGATTGGAAAGGAATGGGATTCTGAAAATCGTTTTGGGGATGTATGGAAAATCATGATGAAGATGGGGACACTGAACCCCTAAATTCCAATGAGGCTTCCTGGTCAGAAGAAGCAACTGCATCTCCCCTGCCATGTTTGAGCAGATTAACCCGGCTTTGCCTGAGAAAACTATAATGACCTCCCCTGAGGGAGGTCACGGAAGACCCTACTGACTCTCCTCAGGACCCACCCCCATCCCTCTTTCCTTATCAACTGATAACTGAATTCAAATCTCAGCAAGCCCTCAAAGGTGAGGTACCAAGTATGACCCATGAGAAGGTACACTACACTCCAAAAGAACTACATGATTTTTCCAATTTAAACAGGTAGCAATTTGAGGAATATCTGTGAGAACAGATGTTAAGGGTGTGGAAACTGCAGCCATGGAAATGGAAAAACTAAGTGCAATGGGGGGTGGCAGCCAAGTGGCGGCAATAAACCACAAAAAGCAAGGTGGGTGTGGCCACCATAATGGCAGCGGAATTGAAACAGCAATCAGAATAGTCTGACTCACAGAAACCTATGCTAACTAGTTGATCATGGTATTCCTGGGAGTGAAATAGATGGGAAATCTAGCAAATCCTGACTTGCTTTGCAGAAGTGGATGAATTCTAGGTCAAATGAACAAGTCTAATTTGAAACATAAAAATAGAGTCATGTCACCTCAATCAATTCCCAGACCTGAGTGATTTACAGACTCAGAACTCTTTGAATGAAGGGGATAGATAGTAGATACTACTGTGGAAGAACTCCACTCCACTCCCAAACATTTATAAGGTAAATCCGTCTCCCAGCCTTTCTCAAAGGGACCTATGGCCTTTTACCAAGGTGACGCTATGCTGGCAAAAAGGAAATGATCAGATCTTTTTATTCTTTCTATTATTGGATATCAGCCCTAAATTACACTAATTCTAGGAGACCCAAAATGTCACTGTGGCCCTCTAGTCAGAGTAGAGGTTTATGGGGGTCAGGTGATCAATGAAGCTTTAACTCAGGTCCATCTTATAGTGAGTGCAGTGGGTTCCTGAACTCACCCTGTAGTTATTTCCCCAGTTCTGGAACTCATAACTGAAATATGCATCCTCAGCAACTGCCAAAATCTTCACACTGGTTCCCTGACCTATGGAGTGAGAGTTATTATGATGGAAAAAGCTAAGTGGAAGCCATTAGAACTGCCTCTGCCTAGCAAAACAGTACAACCAAAGGCATGGAGAGGTGGTGATTCCTGCTGCTTGCCCCCAATTCATCTATTTAGCCTGTACAGAAAATAAATGGACGTTGGAGAATGACAGTAGATTATTATAAACTTAACCAGGTAGCAACTC